ATCATGTGTATTAATTTCTGCTTTTTCCGTTTGGTCTGACGGATTGACAGCAATCACAATTGGCGGTATTCCAGGAATACAAGCTGAAAGAGCATAAACTGTAATATATGTTGCTTTTTTAAAATTGCTAATTTTATTATGAAGTTCCTCTATTGTCATTGTTGTTGGAATTATAGTATCTTCAATAGGCACACATCCAATCCATTTTTGCCGCTGTTTACAAACTTCAATCAATTCTGCAACTTTTGTTTGATCTTTTGCACATATTGTAGGACCAGCATAATCATATGCTTTACGCCACATTGTAATAATATCTGGAAAACTTGATGTATTTATTCCATATATATTATAATAAATATCTGATTCATTTCTTTTATGCCGTAAAAATCGAATTGTTGGTCCAGCCAAATTTGCTGTGAGCCAACGTGTTGCTAAAGTGCTAATAGACATAAGCACAACTAAAAAATCAATAAAACTTTCATGATACTCTCCAATTCCTCTCATAGAAGTTACACCACGTTGCAATTTATCAATAACTTTTGTTACAGCTTGTGCCATTCCAACAAATATAGGTCGATTTTCTTCCAATGTTTTGTCAATTAAAAAGGTTATACATTGGCTAACCCAATTCTCAAGCCCATGGGTCTCAACTGCTTCAATAATACGTCCAAGTGCTGGATATTTGTTAACTATTACATAATAGGAATGATCTGATACTTCTTTTTCAACATATGTGCATAATTGTTGTAATTCTGTTGATTTTGTATGTCCAGGTCGATGTTTAAGTGAAGTAATTATTGTTTCATGCAGCTTTTTGATATCGTATTGAGCCCAACTATCTCCAAATTGAGAAATAATACTTGCAGGTATTGGTTGACCTTCTTTCAGGATAAACAAACAATCAATTTGTGCAATAAGTTCTTGATAACGTCGATTCCTTTTTTGTACAGCATCCATTTGTGCTAAAATACCACATTTGGAACAATATTTGGATGTTGTATAACCTTCACATTCGTTGCTTTTGATATATCCATGTGCCTTAACATTTTTATCAAAAAGATTATCATCACGTAAAATTTTGTATTTATCTGTTGATGTTCCATATCGTGCTAATGCTGCAAATGATTTAGAATAAAAACCATGGCACACTAAAAATAGAGAATTTGGATAAGATTCTTTACTTTTATTCTTTGAACATTATTAAATAATTAAATAATTACCTTTTCCTGATGATTCTAAATGCATTCCTGTATTTAAAGTTTCTTTTCGTTTACTTTCAAAATTCAGGAAAGTGGTACGAAGTTTTTTGGAAGGATTTGATTCAGTATTTATTATGTTATCTTTATGCATATTTGTTTCAAGATGCTGCCATAATCGATAGCCATCATTAATCCGATGTAAAGTAATAGGCGTTCCAGTATCACAATAATGACAATAAACTTGATTATTACTAAGTTTTTCTAATTTTGGATCTTTTAAGAATTCACCAAGTATCGGTATCTTTCGATTACTTTGAGTTTTAATTTGGGCTTTTGGTTTTATTGCCTGTTTAGCATTTACAAAGAGTGTAGAATTGTCTTTTTGTATCTTTCTCTCTGTGGAAGGACTATCATTTACTTTTACAGGAAAATTCAATTTTGTTTGTACATAAGCTTTACGTTTCACTGTTGCTGTTTTTTCTTCCATTTAAAACATTTAAAACAAAGAACGTTGAAAAAAAAAATTATAATTGCTAACCATAAAAATATTATATAACGTGTACATCATATGTATTACAAATCTATATTCAATTGTACATCATATACATCTTTTCTTTATGTCATGTACTACGAATTGATCTTAGATTAATATAAACCGTACAACAAAAAATTTTTGATAATCATATTAAGTGTACTTCGAACGTCAAGCCACAATACCATCAAAAAAGGCAAATTGTGTAACTGTACGATGAACACACAAAAAAATCTAGCCTGAGTGTACGACAAGGTCATTATATATGTATTCAGGGGCCCTGCATTATGATGATTGCAAATCCTAAATCAGGCCAAAATTTTAAAAATTCTACAATAATTCTGTGGCACGTCATACTTGATCAACGGTAACAGTGTCACCAACTGAATCACCATACACTTAAAATAAATTTGTAAAAAAAAAAATTTACACAAATTTTACTATTCTTTCTCCTTAAAATAATTTACGATGCCTGATACGAAAATCAATTCAAATAATAATGATTTTACAAAAATTAATGATTCAATCAATGAATTTATTCAAATTATTAAAAATTTTGATAAAATGAATATAAAAGAAATAGAACCTACAACTAAAAATATCAATAAATATATTTTTGAAGGAGATATAAGTATTGTGATTGATGAATTAGTTAATCTTATTTTTAATAAATTAAATGAAGGTAATGATGAAATAATAATTAAACAACATGTTTTAAATTATATTAACCCTGTAAAAAAAGTCAATCCGTTTTTTTTATTCCATCTTTTTTCCGTAAAAGGCTCATATTTCCGGAATTAATAACTTTATATCACGGAATTTATCGAATTATTTGCATTTTCCGTGAATGGATCCGTGAAAGGCTCATTTTCACGGAGTTTTTACAAAAATAACGGATAAAATTTTTTATAGGGTAATAATAAGAAGATAAATTCACAAGAAATCGATAATTGGCTTTTAAATAATCAAAATAATTCAAATTCTATTTATTTATTTGGATATTTTAATTATCATGGAATTGAGATTGATCTTAATAGGAAAAAAGCAATTGAATTATATCATAAATCAGCAGAATTAGGAAATTATGTAGCTCAAATAGATCTTGCTAATATTTATATTCATGGAAAAGGAGTTGAAAAAAATCCTGATTTTGCTTTTAAATTATCTAAAAAATTAGCAGAAAAAGGAATTCCAAATGCAATAAATAGATTAGGATATTGTTATAATAATGGAGTTGGAACTGTTATTGATAAACAAAAAGCATTTGAATCATACAAAAAAGCAGCAGATTTAGGAAATTCAACAGGAATAAGTAACTTGGGCTATTGTTATAAAAATGGATTTGGAACTCAAATTAATATACAAAAAGCATTTGATTTATATCAAAAAGCAGCAGATTTGGGCAATTCATATGGAATAAATAATTTAGGATGGTGTTATGATGGTGGGGTTGGAACTAATGTTGATAGGCAAAAGGCATTTGAATTGTACCAAAAATCTGCAAATTTGGGAAATTATTTAGGTCAATATAATATTGCTTTAATATATGAAATTGGAGACTTAGTTGAAGAAGATATTGATCAAGCAATTTATTGGTACAAAAAATCTGCTGAACAAGGATATAAACATGCTCAAAAAAAATTAGACAAATTAATAAAATAAATTATGTATTTTAATTTTTTTAATATAAAGCAGCATGTCAACCTTATATAGAAATATTTTTTCAAAAAAAAAATATTAATTTCGAAACTACAGATATTAATACTTTTTTTTTTTGGAAGGCTTTTTTCAGTAAGATGTTAATTTTTAATTCTTTTTTTGGAGGCTTTTTATTTTACCATTAACATTTCAAGAATATTTCCATTTTCTATTTACTAAAAGCGTTAACCACTAAACATTAATAGGTTACATACAATATGTTTATATTTCTTAAGAGGTTATGCAAATGTTAAACACTTTATGTAAAATTTACTAAAAATAATTATTAAGTTAAAAATAATTGCGTATAATAAATATATTTGTTTTGTACTTTTAAAATAAATATTCAATACTATTTTTTTTCATTTTACTCTCATCAGATAATTTCTGAAGTTTTTATATGAAAATTTAATACGGATAATGAACTTTTACGATGGATTAATTCTGAAACTCAGCGAAACTAGTTTCGTCGATTTTCAAATTTCCAAAACCTAAACTCTGAAATTTATGAAACATGTGAATACTGATGCAACCAATCAGAATGATGATGTTATTTTATGATAATTTTAAAAATATTATAAAGTGAAAATTTATAAAACGATCATACCATACACCTATTATAATATTATTTATATACAGTACTAAAATTATAAAATTGATGCCATTTTCAAAATAAAATATCAAGAAAGAAAGTAAGGTATTAGCAATACGATGTTACAGTAAAATTGAAAATCACTGGACACTGCAAATTTTGTTTCTTATCGAGAGAATTTGGTAACATTCAGAAAATTCATCTTCCGAACAAGGCATGTAGCATACCACTATGTTTGGAACATCGATTCAGACGTAGCGATATGCTTATTTCTTCAATTTTATATACAGTATAGTTCGATATTAATTATTGGTTATACGTTACTATACTTTATTGGACTGTTATTTATACATATATAGTTCCTGTTCTTGATTGATGTGGAAGAGAAATTATGGTTCCGATCTGGAACCTTTCGAATTATAATTCACACTAGCGTCTGGAACTGTCAATCTAAGCTTTAACTCTCGCTGAAATTATATTTTAGACAGAATTAAATGTCAAAAAATGATTTAGCTCTGCCCACAATTATAGTATTGGCACAAAATGAAAATAATACTGGATGGAATTAAAAAATCGAATCAATCCGTCAAAATAATCGGATAAGGTTCCGATTTTAACGAGTTTAACACTTTAACGAGAAGCTGCGGATCACAAAAAACTGATCGACGGCAAGTTTAAATTGCGTAATAACAAAAAAACGTGAAAAAAATAATACATAAAGTATCCATTTTTCCCTTAAATAAGATAATAAGATTAAGATAAAATTTTAAATTTTCATGAATTTAAAAATTTTAATTGACGTTAATTTTTTATAAGATTGTTTGTCGACCAAATTCAAAATGATAAGCATATAACGGTGCCGCAGAAAATTGATCTGCAGTACTGTATTACCGTACACACAAACAAATATAAATATTTGCTACATATGATAAAATTTTTTTTACTCCTTGCATTTTTATTATTATTTCACAAATCAACAATGTCAATTTCTAATAATACTGAAATACAAATTTTCAATAATTCATTTGAATGGATTAAAGAAGCTATTTCTAAAAAACATATAAAATATTACGATTATAAAGATTTTTATAATATTGAAAAAATTGATAATAAAAAAATTGATGATCATAACTTTGGAAAAGTTTATCGTACAAATTTGAAAAATTCTGAACAATATTTTGCGTTAAAATCATTCAACTTTGATAACGCCGTCATTGTAAAAGAAATCATTCATGAGGTAATTAATAATTATATATATCTTTGATTTACAGTTATTTTATTTTTAATATAATATATTAAATTATCATTTTTATCCCAGATTAAACTTCATCGTAAAATAAATTTTCATAATAATATTATTCAAATTTTTGGATTGACAGCCAAAGGTAATGATAAATGTATATAATTTTATTGAACTTTATTAATGAGATTGATTCAATTCTTTTTTTAAAATAGAAAATCGAAACGGTAATTTGAAGAAATATTTATTAGTTATGGAATATGCTGATGCAAATTCCTTACAAAATTATTTAAAAGAAAATTTTAAGAAACTCACATGGGAAGATAAATACAAATTATCATATCAATTAATCTGTGGGATATCATACTTGCATGATGAAGAAATTATTCATCGTAATTTGGTAATTTATTTAGAATTGTTTATAATACAGAATTTATTAATATTTGCTCATGTTTTATTATATTTTATTTATAATAGCACTCTAACAATGTTTTGATCAATAAAAATACTATCAAATTGGCCGACTTTGGATTATCGAAAAGAATCAAGGAAGCTTCTGAACGAGATCTGGATTTATTTGACACAGTCCCTTATGTTGACCCCAAAAAATTTGTCAGTAACAAGTCATACTTACTAAATAAAAAGAGTGACGTATACAGTATTGGAGTGATTTTGTGGGAGATATCAAGTGGTCAACCGCCATTTAAAGATCAACTTTATGATTCTAGTTTAGTTATGCAAATTTCGAAAGGTTATAGAGAAGCAATTGTTTCAGATACCCCTTCAAATTATTCAAGTCTTTACATTGGTAAATATTATTTAATATACTCTTATTTATATTATGCATCTAGTTTAAAATTTTTAAAGTCTTTTTTTTACGTTTTATTTAGAATGCTGGAATGGTGAACCAGACAATAGGCCAACTATGAGTCAAGTTGTTGCTAAAATAAAAGCAATTGTCACAAATTCAAGTATAATAACAGGAGATTATCAAACATTTGATCTCACATTAAACCCTTCGTTAATAAAAAATAAGCAACAGTTTAATATTGACCTATCAACTGCTGATGATTTATCTCACGAAGTAAATTTTAACAGAATAAGTATAAGGGAAGTTGAACCTACAATTCAAAATATTAACGAAAATATATATGAAGAGGATTTAAGTATTGTAGTGAATGAATTAGTTAATCTTTATTTTAAGGAGGTAAATGAAGGAATAGAAGAAAGAGTAAGAAAGAAACATATTCTTGATTATATTAATAATCTCAAGATTAATTTACAAGAAATTTATAATTGGCTTTTAAATAATCAAAATGATTCAAATTTTATTCAATTACTTGGTTATTTTAATTATTATGGAATTGTAATTAGTGCTGATGTACAAAAAGCATTTAAATTATATCAAAAAGCGGCAGAATTAGAAAATATTGTAGCACAATTTGAACTTGCTAATATGTATATGGACGGGGAAGGTACTGATAAAGATTATGAAAAAGCTTTTAAATTATCTAAAAAATTAGCGGATAAAGAATATTCAAGTGGAATAAATTTGTTAGGATATTGTCATGATATTGGAATTGGAACTGATGTTGATAAGTTAAAGGCATTTGAATTATATTTAAAAGCAGCAAATTTAGATAATAGTATAGCGCAACATAATATTGGTCATATGTATAAAGATGGAGAAGGTATTGAACAAGATTATAATAAATCTATTGAATTTTTTAAAAAATCAGCTGAAAAGGGATATTCAGATGGAATGACTATGTTAGGATTTTGTTATAATAATGGAATTGGAACCGATCCTGATAAGAAAATGGCATTTAAATTATATGAAAAAGCAGCAAATTTAGAGAATAGTGTAGCTCAATTTAATATTGCTTTAATGTATGAATATGGTAATGAAATAGAAAAAGATATAAATCAGGCAATTTATTGGTATAAAAAATCTGCTAAACAAGGTTACCAAAATGCTCAAAATAAGTTAAAAAAGCTTAATAAAAATATCCAAGAAATTTAGCATTTATTAATTTATTTATCTGAATAGCCAATAATCATTTTTAAATGTTACTATTAACATAGTTTAACAAAAGAATATCAAGTCGTATGGTAAAATTTACTTGAAGATTTTTTTTTGTATTAAACTATACTGTATTATAATTTATACTATAATCATAATAATTTAATAATAAATTTTTTATTATTTTAATCCTTAATAACTCTGGACTCTTTAACATTTTCGTTTCAAATTTCGCGAAAATATTCCAAATATCTGTCTTTTCCATAAAGTATCTCGCTTTTTTTTTTAAAAAAAAAAAAAATTAATAATAAATCAAACCTTTCAAAAATTTTTTCTTTAGAAGTTTCAGGAGAAAAATGAGTTATTTCATGTTTCTTAAAATTCATCATATATCCATTAAAATTTACAAATTCTAATAGAGCATAAGTCATGAAATTTTAAAAATTTTAGGATAATTTACTAGTAAAATGACTCGTCCATCAAAGCAAGACTGCCTTATTGTAATATTGTGTAATCATATTATATTTAATTTATTTAATTTATAAACTGGTGAATTATTAATCGTTGTTTTTGGAAATAATACATATATTACTTTATATTTTATGTATTATGAAAAAAAATTAATTTAAATTTTACTATACGACTTGATATACTTTTGTTAAACTACACTCTAATGTTACATCAAGCAGAAAATGAGATTAAGGCCGCTGAAGATGGATAATGAAAATTATTGAAGAATGGACAGAGGATGGAATTATTGAAATCGGTTAGATATGACAATTAATGATTGGATAAAAGGCGAATTGAATTAAGTTTGCATCGGTCTACAAAATCTCAGATTTTTATTGGATGGTGTCGCATCATCACATCACCAGATACAGACATACAGTAATACAGTATTGTAAATTAAACCATATACTGTACCTATCATACATTGATATTCCAATTGAATACATTTCTTACTATTTTATTTCAAGTTCGATATTTAAAAATTTATTCTAATTGGTAATTTAAATAAAGCTAGTTAATTGATATACTACACAATTTATTTAATTCAATTATTTCGATACATGAAATTGAAAAAAAAGATATACTATATTTCAAGAATAAAATTAAAAATGTCATTATAACAATACGATAATATTATAATAAATATAACTACAGTAATAAAGTTAATGAGGAAATGGCTCGATCTCGTAGTACCCGTTTTTACACAACTAATGAAGTTATATTCTAAAATCTAAAATAATAAAAATAAGAATTACTATACCGTATAGACTGCTTATGGTCTAAATGACTAAATGTACCTTCTTATACGATACTAGAGCACTATATTTTGGCCTATTGTATGTCCTTTTATAATAAAGAGATGTGTGCGTAGAATTAGCATAATTACATTCAAATTGTCTTATAGATTAGTATCACTTTACATGAATTTCCCTAGCACTGTTCAAATTAAATTCCAGATTTTTATTAAACCTAATATGATCAAGTAATTTACTGTTATCTTTATTTCATGTGAATTCCAAAATTTTAACTCATTTTACTTTACTAGATGATAAGGTCATAGGATTTAAAATATAATACAACTACCCCAAGAACACCCCAAAAATTCTGCGTAAATCATGTGATCATCACGTATCACATGATTGTGATTAAGTAATTTACATAAATATTACTAGTTAGTTAATCTTTTATTAAAGTTTCGCCTTTCCACTTTCAATATGGATATTGTAACTACTAATAATTTACAAAAATGTAAAAAATGTTGAAAAACATTAACGAAAATACTCAGCAATTTAAAATTTGTAATATTGTCATCATAAAGCTACTTTGCAATATGAACAATCTAATTATCTACTAACACAGAGGTAGAACTTTAACTCTAGAAGAAATGTCAAAACAATTATTTGAAAGAATTTTAGAAATCAACACTAATGGATATTTAGAAAATGTTTTAACTAGTAGTATAGATTTTAATTGCAATATTTCAAAAAAATTTTCGACCACGTCTTGATTTAGTAATTTATATTCTTCTTACACATCATTAACAACAATAAATATTTATGTGGTCGTGAAAAACCTTCATGGTGAAAAGATTTTAAATTGTAAGCATCTTCTCAATTTACAATTAATCCTAGTACTTTTTTTACAAAGTTCAACGTCAAGAGATAGTATATCCATTTATATTTTTACCAGGCGAAAAATCAATGCAAAATCCACCTTCTAATTCAAATAGAGGTAAATAATATTTATATTACCATATTGACAATAACAAAAATAAACTTTTTTTATTTTTTTTTTAGATAATACATTAAGCAATATAACAAATTTAATGGATAATAAAAAAACTGCTCAATTCGCAATTGTAAATTCAATGAGTGATGATGATGACGACCAAAAGATGCAACTTTTTAAAGATTACAAATTAATACTATGTCAAGCATTGAAAATTGTAGAAGAACAAGATAATATTGGTAATAAAAGATGGGCACAAGCAGTTCAGACAAGTTTTACTGATATTGATAAGTATGAAAGACAGATTACAAATCCACACACCATATCGGCGGATTTGGTTACTCATTCCGATAGTGTAATTTTTTAGTCAAAAAGTATTATATAAGACGCAAATAAGGTTTGGCAAATTAAAAATAAAAATAAACAAATAAAATTGTTACACGTTATTCTAATATTATGTTAGGCTAAAATTATGCTAATTCCGGCCAGAATTAAATCGTATTTCTAGTTTATCGCACTTGCGATAATGTCATGTATCATATGGACCATTTATAGTTTATTTTTTATTTTTCTAGTAACGACTTAGGACCTGGTTGTCCATATGAATTTCTCACATAAGCATTGCAATACTATAAATATTTGATACAAAAATATATTCTCTTCCAACAATAACTTCAGGCGCTACATAAGGAAGATTTCCATTTATAATTTTTAATGGATTATTGGCATATCTTTTGAAATTGGAACTTTCGTAAAAAATGCATGACGGTGTAAGTATTCATGATTATGAAAAAATAATTTTTTTTTATTAATGAAAATTTCGTTTTTTTCGTAGGGTTATCTTCGGTAGATACGGCCTTGTTCTTTTGATTTGGAGTTATTATTGAACGTAATCGTACTGGGTCGCTCATAACGGAATACTCTTGAGTGTTAGGATTTTGATTCATTAAAAATGATATATATTAAGGCTTTAAAAATATTAATGATACTCGTAAATAGTCAATTATTTTATTAATAGTTTGGGATTTCAAATGCTAAAATATTTAAATTGTACCTTTTATGAGAAACAGTATTTTAACTTAAACCCTTTGCTCAGTTTGTATGTTCTATCGTGCTCAGATCTCATAGTAAAAAACTTAAACAAACGCCAAATGTTTTATGACGGATATGACGCACTGTGATTATACAATCACATAATATAGTGGTGTATAGGGATGACGCACTTACTGCGCATGATATTTTTTCGATATCTTTCTGTGCATTTCAAATGATCAATTTCATGAAATTGCAAAGTGTGTATCTTTGTTTTATTTATTTTTATTTGGTATTTTGTGGTTTTTTTTTAATTTGAAAACATCACTAACATTCTCTTTTTTTCTTTTATTTAAGAATTCCAACAATAAAAAGAAGTAACATGAAATAAAAAAATCATCCAACTAGTTTATCTCATTGAACCTAAAGATAACCCCTCATAATAATAACTATTTTAATTAGCTACGAAAAGTACAAAACAAGCTAAGATCAAGAGATATGATCAAGATAAATTCCAAGAATCAAATCAAGAAACACAACCAAAAAATTCCTAAAAAAAGAAAGAAGGAACATTAATAATGCTCCAAGATTAAAAAAAAAGACGCAAACTACTTGTGAAAATTTATACTGAAGTCCAAGGTATTTCTAGAGTAAGAAAAAAATATTATTAATAACATTTTCAAATAGAAAAAAGATACTGAAATAAAAAAAAATGTGAAACTTACTTTTCCAATAAGGTCTATACCGAAGTGCAAAGTGTTTCTAAAGAAGAAAAAGAAAAATAATATATACAAGGTTCTCAAATAAAAAAAAAGACATTAAAATGAAAAAACGTGATACCCACCTTTCCAATTTGCAATTTTACTAAGTCCATATCAAAGTTCTAAAGAAGAAAAAACAATTGCGTTAACAAAAAGATACTGAAACGAAAAAAACAGGACACTCACCTTTCCAACCTGCGATTTCAAGGTCCATATTGAAGTGCAAAGTATTCCTAAAAATAAAAAAAAAGAGTATTATTAATAATGTTCTCAAATAAAAAAAGACACCAAAAAATTTACCTCTACATGCGTATTGCGAATCTATTAAAATCAAATTAACTGCATAAAAATTAAGTCACAAGATTTCTGCCAATTAAATTTAGTGGAGTGACCAGAGATATACATATTTATTTTTTTTATTTACGATCGAAAATAGTGAATGTAAGATTACATATAATAGAATTATAAAATAAAACTAAAAATGATATTGTTAACATTTTGCATCCCCTACGGGACCTATTTAAGTTTGGGAATAATAAAGACTGGAAAACTACGCTGCAGCCTATATTTAAAAAATAAAATGAATAAAAAAAAACGCACTGGGACCAGGAATGTGACCAATAAAAGGGGATGGAAAAAAAGCGGAAGCTAAAAAAAAACCAAAGACACCGAGAAAAAGAAAAAAGAAAGTAAAATAGAAAAAAAAAGAAAAACACCATCCTACCGATCCACCTAAATCACCTTAAACACCAATTAACTGCTTTCTTGGGTCCTACAAAAGAAATAAGCGCCACTGATTTCACCTAAAAAGAAAAATGTTATGACTGTAATACAGTTAAAGCCACTTATTCTATGCTATTTAGGATTTGATTATTCACAATCTTATACCAAAAGGTTCAGGAGTTTTAAAAGTAAAGAACGCGTGTCTTCAGTCTTTTGTTGAGTATTGGATTTGTTGCACGAACGAGTCAAGGAACTGAGCGATTTGCCCAAATTTTTCCCTTTACTTTGCTGTGAATAAGGTTTTTTGTCCTTTTTGGACTTTTGAGGAATTTTTTTTGTGGGAGGAGTTGAAATGGTCAGCTTCCAATGATGCTTAAATTCCATACATCTAAGTAGGTGTTCATGCGTTTCAAAGTAAGCAATCAACTGACATATCCCATGCACCTTTAAATGAATAAAAGCGTGACCCTTCAATTTATGACTCAATGTATGTTCAAAGGATTGATTATTGTGGTAACTGAATGCTAACGGATTAGATTTCCAGTCTTCCAGAAGAGAAAATTTTACTTGAAAATGTTCCCAAGCCTTATGTTCTCTTAATTTCCAATGTCCAGGATACCAGCGGACAAGACCATCACCCAATTTTTGTTGCCACGTTCTCATAACAAAGTCCGTGTCTACAGTTGGTTTTAGTATCATTTTAGTCCAAACGGACTGATACTTGTGTTGTGTCTTAAAGGATATTTCCAATACTTGGCCCCATGACTTTAAATGTTCCAGGATGGCATCATGTGACCAGGCCGCCAGAGATATACATCATCATACATTGATCACCATACATACATACATCGGTCACTACAATAAATACTACATAATCTTTAAAAAATATTAATTTTTTTGGTTTTGGTGTAGAAGTTACAACATAATCAAATAGGTAAAAAAGAGATCTACTTTCATACTCTAGGATATCTTTTATTACTGACTTATGCTTACTACCACCACCTTTAAAAGATTGTCTAAAAAAATAAGTAACTTGTTGATGATTTTTTTTTCTACAGGTGCGCAAGAAAACGCCTTTATGCCCCATTGCTTATGAATTTCCATAAACTTGGATATGTGATACACGAGAACATGTATGTATGGAGTAATTGCGCTTGGACTGTACAATCCTTTTTCAATGCGATTTGAATTTGGAATAACTCTATCTGGAGTTAAAAACAATTCCAGCCAGTCTTCTGCTTCAAATTGAAACTGGTGTGGGTCATAATCTTTTATTTTAAGATTGGAGTAAATTAGGTTGAATCTATCCCACAACTCTCAAATTTTTTTGGCTCGTGAAGGTGGTAATATTCAACCTAAATCAAAATCTTTTAGAACTTTTAACTTATCATTACCCATTAATGATGTATAATTCCATGTATTAGATCCATTCTCTTCCCAAAATTGAAAATGAACTCCAATTCTGTTCATTTCTTGCACAATTTCATTATGACATATGTTATCAAATTGATCAACATCTTTTAATTCTGACAAGACTAAGCTCCAAAGACGATCAAAAATTCGGAGCATAATATGAAGTTCATCTGGAATCCAATGATCTAAAGAAATCATATTAAAGAGTGGCTTTTTACTATGACCTGGATATTCATTTATTTTTTCCATTTTTTTACTAATTTTCCAATTAGTTTGATTATTAATTTGGTCATGCTTGGATATCTGACACCACGGACAGAAATAATTTGAATTAGCTGCATTAAATCCAAGACATATAGACAGAAACTTCCAGTCAGAGCTAAAGTACAACTCAAACTTCCAAATTATATTATTAATTTTTAAACCATAATTCTTAAGATCATTTAGTTCTTGAATGAATGGTGACATCATAACTTCCAAAAGTTCATAACTCTCTATTCCTGGAAAAAGAATGGTTGTATAGTGATGATCAGGTTTGTGAATGTTTTGTTCATCATTCAAAATCGCCATAGTGATCATAACCTGTTTTATTTTCCTTCCCACATTACGTCCATCTCCAGATATACGTAAATGAATTATTGGATTACTTATATCCAATACCCCTTCAAAGATGAGAGCTGGTATAATATATGTTAAAATATCTTTTGCACTACGATGCCCTCCATTTGTAATGTTTTTAATTTCAATTATCCCTTCACCAAAAATATATGAACTTTCAGCAAAATCTAATTCATCTAAAGTTGGAATAATTGGAATATTAATGAGACTAATTGCAATTTTCTGATTCATATTTTTTGTTATTTTAAGTCATTGTTCAGATACTATCCATTCACGTTCTAAATCAGGTTCCACTGCAACTAAAGCTCTATAACCCTCACGAGACAGGAAATTTTGGTCAATTACTTGTACTATTGAAGTGACTTTTTTTTCTGTTTCTCTATCATCCTTTGATCCATAAGCAATTTGAAAGCCCATATGCTTAACATTATATGATAGTATATATAATAAGGACGTTAAAAAATACTTGAAATGAGTTATTGAAAATTTCAGTAAGATTTTTTAATTGTCCTCTTCCTGGAGTACCAAACGTTTTTAATTTTATTTCTGGAACGCAACCTTTCAAATACTTTTTTCCATGTTCGATTGTAAAGTCTTCCATGGAATTTTATTATTATTATTATAGGAGAAATACTCTTCCATCCACTCGTAAATATATTCTTTTTCTCTATGCGTAAAAGGTACGTGGATGGTTAAACAGACTAAAACAAAGAAAAATTACTTCAAAGATTTTTTCTTTATAAAAAAAAGGATTATAATAATTTACTTATGTCGCGGATCCAACTTATTCCACCAACTACATTTTTGTGGTTAATAAATTAATTTAATATTTTTTCTTTAAAAAAAAGAGAGAACTGAAAAATTGGTTATTAACTTACGAATGACAAATTTGCCTGGGACTGTGTGGAATAATTTTACTCAATTCCACAAAGGAGCTTCGATTTACTCTTCCGTACTACTCCATTTATCTCATTCTAATAAAAATTATTAAAATAAATAGAAAATTAATATCTAAATTTTTAATATAAACTGCTTTAACATACATTCAGGTCAATTCTACAAATTGTTCTTCGTTAATGTTGGCATACTTGTTAATTTTAGTGAACGGAAGGTTAGTGAAGAGAATGAAGAGGATTTATAAAATTTCTAAATGCTTTCAGTTATTCTTATTATATTTATTATATATCTATTTTATTATACATTTTGTTATCATTTTAATAATATATTATTAAAATAAAATGCAGTTCAAGTCAATTATAGAAGTCGACTTTAATATACAGTGCATATGTTTAAATATTGATTGAATTATGCCTTTGTGTAAGTGAAAATTTTTTTTTGTGAGTAGGTAAAATAAAATAAAGTTATTAGGTCTAGATTGTAAAGAAAATATACATTTTAAGACAGGTAATAGATTACTCATATCTAGTTATCTTAATAATATCATGTGTTACACGTACAAATTAATCATAATGGAGAAATTAATTTGACAACGTTGACACAATTTAGTTCAATGAAAAAATCTCATCATTCTTAAATATTCGAAATTTCGAATTGTTGCTTCTTATTTTGATAAAATTCCCGAAATGATCCGTTAACATAAAAAATATTTGCTATAATTTGCTTATAATTACTTTATCTTTAAACTAGATACAGTATTTCCGATAAATATGATAAATATTATAAAATTCCATGATACTATTCCTAATAAAAGTATTATTTTTTTTTTTCACACACTAATCAGCTGATCTACTGATACGTTTTTCAATTATGATGGTACAGAAAAAATTAAATTTTTTTTTTTATATTCTTTTTTTTAAAAACGCATTTGAAAGTTCTCCTGATGTGATATCTTAATATTACTATATACAGTATGCAATATATTATGTATATATTGATTCATGTTCGGTAGATGCGGAGATTTGATCCGATCAAAATGAATGCGATCTGATATAGTGGTACAGAAAAAGCCAATAAAAAGCGGTTCTTAGATATCTCGTGACTTTTGATTTCCTTCGTTAGCGAAAAGTTTTATTTATATTTTCATAAAAAATGCAAAAATAATACATATATATATATAATTCCCATAACGAAATAATAAATAGCGTAAATAACATAAAACATAATATATGAATATTCTTGAATAACATAAATATCATAAATAATATCAAATAAAATAAAGTATATATATAATTCAAAAACAAACAAGGGTAAGAAAATACGACATAAAGCTTCAATAAATAAAAGGCATAAATTACAAATATCATAATTTTCCCATTTGTATAATTATATACAAAGAAATTATCTTAATCCTGACTAATTTTTTTCACAAGTTAGTTATCATAATTTAAAAGGCATGAAATAGAAATTTTTGAATACCCATTTTGATTTTTTGGAATAAGCAATTCATCGGAATTAACATGATGAAAAATGAATTTACGTTCATCTTCTTTAGCATCCAAATTTTTTACTTGTTCTTGTTCTTGTTTTTCGGGTCCAATCACTTCTTGTTCGTATTTTATATTTATTTATTTAGATGGATTTTAAATTACTTAATATTTGCCAGAATATATTCTGTTTTACTTTTTTTTTTATTTTGAATTATTTAAACACTAAGTATAGAGTAAGTAAAATTTTTTACAAGGTTCTTAGTTTGTAATTTAAATAATTCAATATTTCATTGTTTTCATTATTGTTATAACTTACCTGTTACTCATTAAATAATAATTTAACTTTTACGATAATATTAAATTCTTGCAAATAAATTATTTTATGTATGGAGTGGGAAGTTTAGTACTGAGTTAATGAAGCTTACAATAAATAAGTCGTAGAGGTATGAGTAAATTAACAGCTAAAATTTTTATGTTGGTATGATTTGTTTGTTGAATTTTGTTTATTTTGACTATTAAAAGGATGTAATAAAATTAACCCTTTCAATAATACAAAGTAAGTAAAACGGAAGAACTAAACTTATAAAAATTAATGATCGATCAAATTAATGCGAATAAACAATCATAATGCGGGCCGAAATTACTGACCCAATCACGTGATATGATCACGAATATTTTGGTCAATTGATATAAATACTGTATTTAAACAAATTTTGTCAACAAACCTATTAAACATTTACTATATAAAAAGAAATTTTTATTTCCTAAACAACAAGATTATACATTTTCGGTTCCTATTTTTCCCTCACTCCCACAGCAAAGGCAGAATTATCGCTGGTGTTGAATCAAGTACTGCGAAGCATATTCCCATAGTTAATCAACCATCACCTTCACTAGTCTTGATAAATAACCCTACCGATACTACTCCTCTTGTTACTACCGTAACCACACCTGCTACGCCTCTCACGACTTCCGATAATATGGAATTACCGAAATTGGATGGTCCTTCGACCCCTTTGGTCTCAATACATGACCAAATCGCTGTCAACATACCTCCTGTTGACGTGGATTTTGACAATAGTCACGCTTCTGATATTCCGGAGGAATTAAAACCCTTCATACCTGAAGGTCCCTTACTTTCAACGGATTCGAAGTTATCAAACAAACAGCACAGACGTAAGGGCGCGTTCCTTTAATACCTGGCAGCAAACGATATCTTGCAGAATTACGGAGACATAAAAAACGTCATGATGGCGAAGTTAAACAGAAAAGCATACGTTTAGCACGACAACATCAAGCCAAATGGCTCGGCACTTCCCTCAACAAATTAGAAGAACGTCAGGGTTTAACTAACGACCTCACTAAATTTCATGACATTTATCACACACGCATGACCTCGTTCACCAACAAACGCAAAAAGATCAAAGACCCTGCCAAATTAGCCAAATTGGAATCGGCATATGAAGAATTCGTATCGGAATTCTCTTTTTCGACATTCATCAACCCCAATCTTACCTCAATATCGCTATAAAGGCGATACATCTGATGATACCGAATCAATTGAATCACGCCCGAATAAGCGTGATGTTAGTACTATGGCAAGCTAGATCTGACGCCCTTGTTCATCAACTGTTACCCTGGAGACTCCTAGTTGTTTGGACTTATAGTTTTTTTTTTACTATATTTCTCTTTTTGTATTATTTTGTAATGAGTCTAGATACCCTTTTACCTGTAGGCTGTAGCTGTAGCTTTTTTAATATTAGTCTACATCATTTGTTACTTCAACCCACAACACAAAACAATTTTGAATAGTGTGAACCACTCCATCTCTGACAGTATTTACAGATGGCGGCCTTTTGGTCGAAAGAAAAATACGGATCATCAAAACCTTTTCTCTTTTTCTTAATTGATATAATTTCTTTTCTTCTTTTTTTTTCTTTGCGTTCAGTTTTAGACAGTGCTGGCTATACCTAGTATTGTTTTATCAATAACAGGCGAGGCGATTTCTTCTTCTTGGGAGGAGGTGGGTTTAAACGCGTACGGTGGTGTATGTAGTGCCTTCGTTAAGGCCTCGTTCCATAATACATTTCAAAAATAAAAATAAAATAAAAATAAAAATAAAAGTATTTAAACAATGGAAATATTTTTTAATTTATAATTTTTATGATTAAAAATATTGGACCATTAGCAAATTAAATGCGTAGATAATTTAATACTCATGTTAAAATTCAAATTACAATTTACTATTTCATCATTTATCGTAAAATTTATTATAATCATGAAAACATTTGATCCAAATTTACCAACAGATTTTTATTTAAATCATTGTAAGAATTACAAAGGATAAAATAATTTACTCTAGATTCTACTTATTCAAATGGGAATGTCAATTAAACTAACATTAATTATTCTCATTTCAAAATTAGCCAAAAAAAATACATACCCATACATTAATATTAATTAATATTACGTAATTCAAAAGTCAATTATTTCGTCACGTTATTTATATAAAAATAAAAAATCGTAAATGATCAATATAATAATAAGACATCTCACATAGTTGTAAGATACTTTTTCCTCAAAGTGGCACAAGAGTGTTCTGTATATTTGTGTGTAAATTTATAGGTTGTTCTTGTTTCTTATAATAACTGATAAAATACATTTTTATTCCTATTTAATTCAACTGCAAAAGATCTGCAGAAAATGGGAATCTGGCGTGACGTCAAATAAAAGTAAAAAATTATGTGAAAAATTTATTGTAAAAATCAAACTATTTGTAACTTTGGGATAAATATTATGCATTAAAATATGTTGGTGTCGAATGAGTTTACATAAAGAGCATTACTTTTAAGAAATGAAAATAGGGTATCGGAAAAAATTACTAATGATCGACATAAATTTGCGAATTTTTTGCAGTTGACTCACGGATTACGAATTAATCTATTTAATAAAATTTAAGATGAAAAATTAAATCTTGTCATTAAAACTCAAATTAAAAAAATTTTAAAAATGTTAACTAGGAGAATAAATTATCCAATAAACAAAAAAAAAAAAGTCCCCGTACACCGAGACTTTATTCCTCATTCGGAGCATCACTTAAAATCCATTTTAAATTTAAAGGATGATGATTTGATGTTATAACAGTTGACGTTTGGGAAAAATAAGGTTGAATCCATTGTGGCTCAATGGCTTGAGATGGTGGGAAAGTAGGTCCATTTTTGCGTATATTTTGAGACGGATTGCTTGCGACAAATGTTGGATATAATGGGGAAGTTGTGGTTGGACTTGTAGACGCTATCCATATTCGTTCATCCGAAGTAGTAATTGGGACACGCATTTGCTGTAATGATATATCATTTGAAGTAGTTGTTGAATAATCATTTGATGCACAAATATAAATTGCATTAGATGAAGATGCTGTTCTTAACGATGACGTGAATGAATTATTGATGTCATTAAGATCTATTTGACTTACATCGTTCATAATAACGTCACAAGGTCCGTCTTTGTTTTCATCATAAATTGTGTGATTATCAATTATGGTTTGATACATTGCTAAATTAACAATCCCACCATAATGTGTGTTTGGATCTCTATTATCAACATTTTTTATAGCTTCACTTCTTATTAATCTAGAAGAAGCAAGCCTTTTCTCTAACATTGCTATCCTATCATTTAAAGTTTTGATTTCGTTCTTTGCCGAAGTATAAAGCACTTCAAGATTTGAAGTTCTTAACTCTAAACTTCTTATATAGTTTTTCTTACTTTGACGAAATGTTCTTTGGTTGGTTAGGTTCTGAACGTGCTTTTTCTAATTGGATGAAAAAAAAAAGGTAAGAAATAAGGAATAGATACTCAAAAAATGAGAATCGTTTAGGAAGTATGTATACGGGAAAATAAATTAACGTACTTGGCTGTTATTAAGCACCCTGAAAACGGGTATCATCGAATTTGACCAGCATTATATGCAAAAAAGGGTGCTCAATAACAGTCACATACTTTAAATTCATATTGCAATCTTGTCGCGTAAAAAAAAACACAACACTCACATCCAAAGGTATAGTCGCCAATGGTTTTCCACCGCGTCGATTCGGCATTGGTTTTCCGATAGGTTGCAATTTAGAGTTTGTTGTTCTATGCAAGTATACAAAACAAAAATGAAAAGATTACGTTAAGGGAATTGGTTACAAAAAAAAAAAAAGTATTTATGTAATTGTTTCTTTAATATCGCGCAATTGTAAATGAAGCTCTACTTTTACGGATAAATTATAAACAAAATAACTTACGACAAAAAATGATATCTAATGATGATGCTTGAGAAAGTTGAGGGTTAGGAATACAGTTATTTATTGGAGATTCATTATATTTGAAAGACGAAAAGGAACCGTTAATAGGTTTTGGTAAAGGTAAACTGAAACGTTGGGGCAACGATCGGTCACTCATTTCGAAAGGGAAGGAGAAATAAGGAAAATTTCGTTGCACAAGGAAAGTTTTATTCAAGATTTAACATTATATAGAAAATAATCCATTAAAACGTGTCTGTACTTGATATATGATTGGCCTCAAACTTAATTCAGTTTTTAATTTGAATGCATAATTTGCATTTAATAGAAGCCAATAGTTTAAACACAGTGCTTTTGATCTACTCAAACTTAAAAATATATAAGGTAATAAGGCTTTAAGAAAAAAAATTACATTGTGATGATACAACAATGAAAATTTTTCCGTATAAAGTTTCAAAAAAGAATATCAAAGTACCTTTATATAAATATAAGAGTTGAATAAATAAATAAATAAATAAAATATATCAATATTATTTATCCATTTGACCTTTTTAAGACTCTTTTAATAAGGTTACACACACTAAAAAAATAATCAAATATGCACAGTGATATATTTAGAAATCAATTATAACATCTTTGGTTATAAATTTGTAATTGTTTGTAAAATACATACTCACACATGATTGAAATAAAACATGAAATCATATCACATTAAACGGTTGTAATTTTCTGGGGTATTTACTTAAATAAGAAGATAAAAAAAGAAGGAGAACCCAGTACTAACTATTTATTGCGCAATCAAATTATTGTTTTATAGATCTTAGGAGTAACGAATAAAATTTGTTTATTGTACACACGTGCATTTCTTAGGGCTGAAGAATAAAGAAAAAATCCCTAAAAAATAATAATAATACTTTTGAAATTTCTCTTCTTGGCGCTCATAAAAAAACAAAATCTTTAAATTTCTTAAAATAATCTTTTCGTTTTTGGTCAAAAGGCAACATGGTTTACATGATAATATGATGATTCAGTAAAAACCTCAAATAAGGCCGGGCAAAAAAAAAAATTAGATTCTTGGGTCTTTTTTACAAAAATTCATGATTTTTTTTTTATAATAAAATTTTTTATCACGTGACTTAATATAATGAAATTATTAATTGCTTTATTATATAAAATTTAATTTTAACATTGATTATTTTCATGAGATAACAGACTTAAATAACAATTATGTAAAATCTGCATGAACTTATGAGGATAACTGATAATATTAATTATTATTTCGTCACGTTATTTATATAAAAATAAAAAATCGTAAATGATCAATAAAATAATAAGGCAGCTTACATAGTTGTAAGATAGGTAAAAAAATTTTTATTTAACAAATTATATAAATTGATTTTTATGAGAAAAGAATTCCTTTCCGTCGTTAAATAATCTGACTAGTATTTACCTATCATATTATCACGTGATTTAAAATTATATTTTTTTGTCCTATATAAAAATTTAAAATGAGAATTGCAATCTAAATTTAAATAAATTTTAAAAATGTAATTTCACTAAAGTTATTCAAAATAGAAAAATTATGATTATCGTTAAATTATTTAGTCGTCGTTGTTCATTTTGTATTTATGGTCACATGATAGTCTACACAACATTTCAACATTTTTGGTAATACATAAACCGGGACGAAAACTCCCGCTCCTATATTTTTTTTAAAATTACATAAATTAATTTTTTTTTTTTTTTCCATAATTTAAACATTTTACATTATGTCTGATATTCGATATGGATTAGTTCATGCTTTAATTAATAAAGTGATTATATCAATAGATTTTAATATTTACAGTATGTACATAGCAATAAAGGAAATTTTTTTATTCATTTCGTTAATTATCCAATATTTTAAGCCAAATGATATGTAATTATTTAAATAATCTTTTTCGTTATCATCCTGACTTTATTAATCATTTAATCAGATAAAATTCATTTATAAATGATAATTCAGATTTAAATAATATGTAATTATCCTTTATTACCCACCATCAGGTACACGATTTGTTAATCTCAGGTACAAAAGCACATATTCATCCAAAATAATAAATAACTGCTACTTAGATTACATACAGGGAAACGCAAGATCGCAAGCCAGTGCCATGCATATGAAGCTTGTATGAAATCTATCTAGGACTTTGTTTAATTATATACTTACTATACCCCAGTAAACCAAGGTAAAACCTTCCTTTGACGAAATCTACGGTCTCCTAATAGTTTTCTTTAATGACCGATTTAAATTTTCCTCCTTTATCTTCAAACCGCGGTCTCTGTCACGTGATCCCTCCAATTACCACGATAAGTCGATAAGTCGATAACTCGACATTTAAATATCTTGACCGTGTCAAATAAACTATCAAAAATCCAAGAAAACAAAAAAAAAAAACAACCAAAGGAAAAAAGAAAAGGTATGGGTAAAACAACATCACCAGAAAAAGCTATTCACCTCTAATCACTTCTATCCAATACACTTTCCTGAATATCCTTTTACCAAACAAACTCTTCCTTCAAAATATTACCTTCTATCCAACCAAAAAACTTAATTGACTTCCAAAATGCTGACGTTTTAGATCAACCCCGTCTCTAGGATTACCAGAAGACCGTTTGAGTCATTTTAAGTGTATCAAAATTCGAAAACTGCAGTTATTAGGAGCTGGATCAACCGTTATGAAGTTCTAAAAATGTTAAAAACCCTTCCCAAGAAGAAAAAAAAAAATCTTTCTAAACTTATGAATTAAGAGTGAATTTGTCAAAAAATCGAATTTTGAATAAAAATGAATGTTTGTTAGTTAAAATAACGAGAAAATAAAGTTTATAGTCTTGTAGTGATGTGGTCATGATCAGCAGTAAGAGTCACCACAGTATAATGAAGCTAATTATAAAAATCACTCGATATGTAAAAAATTGCTTTATTTATGGTAGTGAAATTTATAATGATAATTATTTCAAGATACTTTTGCCGATCTATCATGTATTCATTTTACATACTTATGCACAGGCTTTGAGCTTGATTTGTAGTTAAATATAAGAAATAAAAAGAAAAAGAAAAAATAAAATGCATCTTTAGAACCTAAAAAAAGACCTAGAAAGAATGTTATTAAAAACAAGAAGCAGAAACAAAATAAAAGTAGGAAAAATGAATAGAAGCATCTTTGGCTGCAAAATCGAAGAAAATCCAAAAGATATTAAGAAATAAGAAGCCGAATATTATTACGACTGCAAAAAATGGATCTAGATAATTTTATTTATCCTATAATAAATTAGTAAATGATAAATATTGAACTTATAGAAATTTGTAAAGACCTAATAGTAAATCCAATAACTGATGAAAAAGTTTAGAGCCAGAGTGATTATTTCGTAAATAAATCACGTGATTATGCCTTTCGGTGTTTTTTCGGTCCGAAATAACCAATCGAATATATTTAACAAATATTCTGTATTTTTTATTTTTATTCTTCGTTTCTCTGAAAAATACGAAATTCGAAAATAATGTATGATAATAAATTTTTACCAAAATTATCTCAAAGTTTACTTGAAATTTTAGAAGATAATGAATTTTATGATATTACCATTGAAGTTGTTAATGACCTTTACGTGAAAATTTTCCGTGCTTGCATGGTCATTTTAAATTATCGTTCTCCTCATTTGCGAAGAATTTTATCAACTAACGTTAATAAAAAGAAAGATGATGGAACTTTATTTTATCCGGAATTTTTCAAGGTGAGAAGAAAATTGAAATAATAAATTATGACGACTTTTTCTTTCTTTTCAATTTAGATACATCTATTGAGGAAGGCTTTCTTCAAAAGAATATGATACTCGAATATTATTAAAATATTGATTTCTTCCAGTAGACTTAGCCTTCAAGAATTAATTACTCATTTATAATTATTTTTGATTGAAAACAAAAAGGATTGAATGGAACAAAATCTTAACTTGATATAAAACAAGTTTTGAGAATAATTCTTTTGAAATTACAAAATTATTGCACTGAATTAATGTCTAAAGAACAGAAAAAATTTTCTAATTTGATTGATTTTATTTCACTTTCAGAAAATTGTTTGATTTCTCTTATTCAAAATGACAACTTTTAAATGAAGTGATGTTCAATTTGGTAACATGTACTTAAATGGGTATTGCTCAAAATTCTGAACTTTCTTCGGATCTTTCAAGTTATTCAAAAGATGATTTCAATACTTTAATAAAGAATACTTTACAACAATTTATTCCTTTAATTAAATTCTATAATTTAACTCCAAATGAATCTGTTGATAAAGTATATCCACATAAAAAATCATACCCGAAGAATTACGAGGTAAATTAATTCAAACAAATATCAAACCGGAACCAAAGATAGTAACAAAAGAAATTAGTTCAAAATTATTGATTCAAGAATTATTACATTACAACATGTTGAATTAATCTCGAAGTGAATTGATAAATTAGAAATTACCGACAAAGTGAAAATTTTGTACGAATTCAAATCAATTCTTCGTGGATCTCGTGATGGATTTTCATCTCGTGAATTTCATAAGATCTGTGATGATCTATAGTGAAAGCTACTATCCGATTTTCTAATCATGATGTATTTGGCATTACTAAAGATAGTTCTATATTCTCTTTCAAGAATAAGGTTTTATTTTTATTGAACGCCTATCGAGCATACAAAAAGTTTGACTAAATGACGTATACGTATGAAAATATATATATAGTATACAATAAAATGACACAAAAAGGATGATTCCTATTTAGAAACCTATACTGAGATAAAACAAAAAAAACTATCCTTTGAGAAGTTTTCTAGTCTTATTACTTATACTACCTACACTACTCTCTGTATCTTTTGTGCTCTTGTTGGTATCAGAAATTACCTTTTCAGGCGCACTTGATTCTATCAAACTCATGAATTCATTCCCACGAAGGAGTAATTTGGGCCTTTTTCTTAGTTTCGACATTTTCACAATATTTTATCACTTTTTAGGAAAAGACGCATGAGAACAACTCTCGTTCAAGCAGGATCTTACTCCACAATCACAAATTTAAAACTCCTCCGTTTATCTACACATATTTTCTATACCTTTCAACCGTATTAACCACTTCCTCTTCATCCAACTCATCTCCTAAAACATGCGCAATTTCTTTATTCAAATTTATCGAAGAGCAACCACTTTTTGCAGGTAAATTCACGATAGTCTTCCTTGATTCATGTTATTCCCTTCGGTAATCCATTTCCCAATTGTGGCGCTCTCGTTCTCATCGATGGCAATCGCTTCATTCTGGCTACTCTTCTTGAAAAAAGGATTCATCTAATTCTTTAACGCATCTTTAATCTCTTTCGCACTAGCCTCCTTCGTAACCTCCTTCGTAATGTTTTGTTTAGGAACCGGATGTATCGTCTGTTCCTTTCTTGACGATTGAATCTTTCGCGAAGTAAACTTAATGTGACTTGATTTACCCCTTCTACACCTTCTTCAGTCACACTTTATTTCCAAACTACTCTTAAATCCTCTTCCGATTTGAATGTTGCGACAAAAAGTGTCGAATCTTCCTCGAGCACACATTTTCCATAACTAAAATTATAATTCTCAATCAAAAAACAGTTCAAATATGGTGTTGATATATCTGACACAAAAAGAAGATAAATTTAAGAATGGGATACGTCGGTGTTATTTATAGAATTTTTTTTAGATTACGGTGATAAGTTGAAGGATATCTTTCAACAAATCCAATGTAGTTGGTACGTCATAAACGTGATCTCACGTGCGACCGCTATTTGACGATCCGCCGAAATTTAGTAACTAAACTCCTCAATGGCCCTTTACATTATTAATTAATGGTCGTACTAGAATCTATTATTGGAAAATAAGTTTTATCTGATGTTTAATTGAAAAAAGAGTGGCATTGGATATATTAGCCCTGTTCATTTCCGGTCGGTTGCATTTTTCTGTCGGATTTTGTTGTACAAAAATTATCCAATAAAATTTTTTTATTTTCGATCGCAAATTGAACTGCTTTAGATTGAAATTTAGTTCGAACTCCTTCTATTGATATATATTTTTTCTTAAATGTCACCTAAACAGAAATTATCTAATTTTGGTTGGTTATTTTGGCGTTCGACAAAAAAACCCCAAAAAAAAAATGGGCTAAAAGTTCAGAAAATGGTTGCGTTGTACAAACTGATCAGCCCAATCAAAATTAACTTAAATCTGACCGACCGACCGGAAATGAACAGGGCTATTTTGATCACATCAAATCACCCCATTTTCCGGAGATCTAATTCGTTCCTCAAAAATCTTCCGTTGCCATTTTTGCCATTTTGGGATTCCAATCGCGTGCTGAAATTTTTGCTGCGCCGGCCGGAAAACGAAAATTCCCAAGAAACCGAAATATCCAAAGCGCAGAATAAAGACCTCCACTATCGAAAAGTGTATCTTGTCTGATTATTCCTAGTCCTTTGTATGTACTTTCCGTCAACTTTTGTTAGTGCAGCACCTCGCCTTGGCTTCTTTTTGGTCGTCACTATTACAGTAAAGACAAGAAATACTATTGCTTCCAAACTCGTAAATTAATCACGTGATTAGACTTTCGGATGTTTTTTAATTACCAAATAAATTTTTTGATAGAATACTTATTTAGTTCAACAAATATTCTGTATTTTTTTTTTTTTTATTCAATACGAAATTCGAAAATAATGTATGATAATAAATTTTTACCAAAATTATCTCAAAATATACTTGAAATTTTAGAAGAAAATGAATTTTATGATATTACCATTGAAGTTGGTAATGACCCTTACGTGAAAATTTTCCGTGCTCACATGGTCATTCTAAATTATCGTTCTCCTTATTTGCGAAAAATTTTATCAACCAGCGTTAATGAAAAGAGGGATAATGGAACTTTGACACATATTAAATTACCAAATATTTTACCTGAAATTTTTCAAATGATATTGAGGTGAGAGTTGGAATAATAATTATCACGACTTTTTCTTTCAAAAAAGAAAATATATGTTTATATGCTTACGAAAAAAATTCAAATAGATACATCTATGGAGGAAGACTTTCTTTGGAAGAATATGATACTTCGGATATTATTAAAATTTTGGTTGCTTCTAGTGAACTTAATCTTCAAGAATTAATTACTCATCTACAATTATTTTTGATTGAAAACAAAAAGGATTGGATGGAGCAAAATTTTAACTTGATATATAAAACAAGTTTTGAAAATAATTCTTTCTTGGAATTACGAAATTTTTGTACTGAATTGATGTCTAAAGAACCAGAAAAAATTTTTAATTCAATCGATTTTATTTCTCTTTCAGAAAATTGCTTGGTTTCTCTTATTCAACATGATAATTTTCAAATGAGTGATATTCAAGTTTGGGAACGTATACTTAAATGGGGCATTGCTCAAAATCCTGAACTTTCTTCAGATCCTTTAAGTTATTTAAAAGATGATTTTAATACTTTAAAGAATACTTTACAGCGATGTATTCCTTTAATTAAATTCTATAATTTAACTCCAAATGAATTTGTGGATAAAGTATATCCATATAAAAAAATCTTATCCAAAGAATTACGAGATAAATTAATTAAAGATTTTATAATTCAACCAAATAACAAACCGGAACCAAAGACGATAACAAAAGAAATTAATACAAAAAGTATTGACTCAAGAATTATTACATTCCAACATGCTGAATTAATCTCGAAATGGATTGATAAATTAGAAATTACCGATAAAATCAAAAATTTGTACGGATTTAAATTAATCCTTCGTGGATCTCGTGACGGATTTTCATTCCGTAAATTTCATGAGATCTGTGATAATAAACCTCGTACTGTATCAATTATTAAAGTGAAAGATAGTAATGAAATTCTTGGAGGATATAATCCGATTGTATGGGAATCTAATCATGATGTATTTGGCACTACTAAAGATAGTTTTATATTCTCTTTTAAGAATAAAGAAAATATTGAAAATTATGTTTTAAGTCGTGTAAAGAATGAAATTTATGCTATATATAATCACATTGATGGCGGTCCGTTATTTGGTTGTGGTGACTTTTTTTTATATGGAAAATATGGCTATGATAGGAGTTGTTGTTATTATTCTGGATATTATGACAAATTAATTAGAGAAACTAAAGACCATTTTTCCGTAGAAGAATATGAAATATTTCAAATTTTGAAAGAATGATTAATATTTTAATAATTAAGGATCCTAGTGTATTCCTCCTGATATATATATATAATTATTAGTTATTACGGATTAAGTAAATTATTCAGATCAAATAGAAAAAAAGATTTTTTTCCAGGCTTCTTTTGTTTAATAAAATTCTACTTTTCAAAGAATAAACCAATTGTTATTAATCGTAGGAAAAGTTGAATAAATTTGTTCTTATAATAATGTTAAATGTATGAATTGATAATTGGTTTAACTGATTTAGTATTCCAAAATGTAATGTCTAAAGTTATTCCTCGTTGTGAAAAATTATTTCATACAGTAAATGATGATAATTTTCTGGTTCTCTTTAACAAATAAATGGATTTACCTTTTTTATCTTTTTTCCAGAACTCTTGTGAGTGTTTAAGTAAGAACATTTTGCTGTGTCTAGAAATGTGTCGAGTTAGATAAATTACGTGACCAACCTTCGGTCGAAAGATTTCTCAATTCTACACTTACTGAAGGTACCAAAACAAAATATTTCGTGTTCGTGTGGTTATTTTAAATTATCATTCTACTTATTTGCGAAAACTTTCTTATCAGTTTACCAAATATTATACCTAACTGAATGATATTGAGATAAGTTTTTTTTTAAAAAATAATAATAATAATAATAATTATAAGGTAAGGGCAGTGAACATATCTTAGCTAATATTAGTTTCATAACTATGAAAGAGCTTTACCCCTCCACCCCCAGGTAAGATTTTTTTTAGCCAATAATATTTAATTTAACCAATAAAATGTTTAATTTTGTGTCACGTAAGATTTTGCATTAGCTAATATATGTCATGGCTCTAATAGGATACTTCGAAATCTTTGCTAGTGGAAATTAGTCTCCAAGAATTAATCTTTAAATAAGCTTTGATAATAGCACTTCCGTGAAACTAAAGATTTACAAACCTGACGCTCACAATTCCTGACAAATCATAATCCCGAAAATTAACTTAAATCCCAAAACTACGTAAATCCACTTTTAAATACTAAATATTACGTCATTATAATGTAATTGTCAGGAGGATAATATGTTTTGTGATAATGAATGTCAGGAACAATGTGGTTTAATTTTTTGGATTATGATTTGTCAGGACCTATAAAAATTTTATCCGGTATCTCTGTAAAAACTCCGTAAAAATGCGCCTTTCAGGGATCTATTCACGGAAAATGTAAATAATTCGATAAGTTCCATGATATAAGGTTATTAATTCCGGAAATATGAGCCTTTTATGGAATAAAGATGGAATATAAAAAACGGATCGTCTTTTTTTACTGGGGGATTGTGAGCTCGGGATTGTGTTGTAACAGGATTCTGATCGTTGGGATGTCGGTGAAATCCTATTTCCAACGAAAAAGAGGTTATATTCATAATAGTAGGTGGATGATCAATGATAATTGATGTTGTTGATTAATAGTATCACGTGATTTCAAATCCGGAAGAAAGTACATGTTGAGGAAGAGGATTTTCGTCAGTATCCATATTATCTGAAGGAAAAATATTATCTATTTTTTCCATATCATCTTTTATATGAACAGCTCTAATTTTACTAGGTCGTTGTTCAGAATTATCTTTAGAAGATGATGTATGAACTGAGTAAGTTTCTTCTGCTATCTCAGTGTCGGTTTGTGTTCTTTTTATATTATCTATATTTTTTTGCAATTTTAGTTTTGAAACGAGTATTGTGACTTATTTTCTATTTGTAACTCACGTCGGAGAATTCAAAATTTAATTATTTAGTAATGTTAACTAGTCCAAAAAAGTTTTTCTAATAAAGTTCTTTAGCGAAATTTTTGGTCAAAGGATCGACCGATCTCCAACTGAGAGTCAGAGTAATTATTCGTAAATAAATCGCATGATTATGCCTTTCTGTGTTTTTTTTTCGGTCTAAAATTGCCAAGTAAATCAATAATCAAACATTTATTTAGTTCAACAAATATTCTGTATTTTTTTTTTTTATTCTTCGTTTCTCTGAAAAATACGAAATTCGAAAATGATGTATGATAATAAATTTTTACCAAAATTATCTCATAATTTACTTGAAATTTTAGAAGATAATGAATTTTATGATATTAATATTGAAGTTGGTAATGAACCTTACGTGAAAATTTTCCGTACTCACATGGTTATTTTAAATTATCGTTCTTTTCATTTGCGAAGAATTTTATCAACCAGCGTTAATGAAAAGAGGGATAATGGAACTTTGACACATTAAATTACCAAATATTTTACCTAAAATTTTTCAAATGATATTAAGGTGAGAATTGGAATTAATAAATTATGACGACTTTTTTTTTCAAATATACATATATATATATATATTTACATGCTTACGGAAAAATTCAAATATTTTTATTTTAGATACATCTATGGAAGAAGACTTTCTTTGGAAGAATATGATACTTTGGATATTATTGAAATTTTGATTGCTTCCAGTGATTTTGTCTTCAAGAATTAATTACTCATCTACAATTATTTTTGATTGAAAACAGGATTGGATGGAACAAAATTTTAACTTGATATATAAAACAAGTTTTAAAAATAATTCTTTCATGGAATTACGAAATTTTTGTACTGAATTGATGTCTAAAGAACCAGAAAAAATTTTTAATTCAATCGATTTTATTTCTCTTTCAAAAAATTGTTTGATTTCTCTTATTCAACATGATAATTTTCAAATAAGTGATATTCAAGTTTGGGAACGTATACTTAAATAGGGTATTGCTCAAAATCCTGAACTTTCTTCAGATCCAAATTTTCATTTAAATAATATAGCCTAATGATATAACTTGCTAGCTGAATGAAACCAAATATAATATACAGAACCAAATAATTTTTCTTTTTTAGTCAGTATAATAGTATTGATGCTCCAATAATATTAAATTAACCGAAATTGTCCTAAAATATTAATTTTGTCGATATTTATTAAGTTTAAATAATTTTAAATTACTCGTAATTAAAAGTTACAGTCACGTGATAATTTGTTTGTACAAAACGTCCAATCAAAGACACCCCCCCTATTCAATGACTTTGCCGATAAAAATTAAAAATTAAGAATATATAGATAATCTTTTTTTTTTATTCACCAAGTTCTAAAGTTACAATAAAAATACTGTCAATATATTTTCTTCATTTAATAATGGAAGAAGTATATACTTGTATTCGTTGCTCTCAAAGCAAAACAACAAGTTTTTTTCTTAGTAAAAAAGGAAAGGAGTTAAGAAAAGTTGTTCTCGCTGTCATGAAAGCATATCTGTTAACAATTATTAATGAGAGAATTCGATAAACAAAACCAAAATAACAAGTTAAATGAGATGTTTTTGATTGGACTTTTTGTTTTGTAGTACAAAAATATCACATGGCTGTAACTTTTTGGTTACGGTGCTCTTGGAGTAGTTATAATTTTTATCTCAACCATGTGACACTACTTTTACAATCAAGTAAAATTAGACGATCAAATTAAATGTTTGAGATGCAGATCCCCTTAAAAACGACGATAGCCTAAGACAAAAGTTAGTGAATAAAACAAAAGGAAAAGGAAAATAGTAATCGTTATAATTGAAAGTAGTATTTCTTTCTTTATATATTTTATTATTTGTTTTTAATTGATTTTTATGATATTCTTTTTAAATTTACATTAAGAGGATTTTGTAATAGATTGTGAGGAGTGCATAGAAAACTTTCTTTTCAGCTTAAGTATTAATGGATATATTGAGAAAGATGGTCCATTATATTATTACTTTAATAATAAGAAGATATATAAAAGGAAATCAATTATAAAAATTGTACTACAAAAGTTTATATTATGGTTCTTGATCATTTTGATCATTTATATTATTGTGAAAAATGTGGTTATAGTAAAATATTAGAAAAATATGTATATTACGGGTATTGCATACTGCGGACTAGTGGAGGTATATATGTGTGATTAAAACTCTTTTTATAAATGAAATTATATATTGTAATTTATTAATATTTTCGAATAAAGTGTTTTTTATAAGTTAAAAGAATTGCATTTTTTAATTTAACAATATATACAGATTGCGCTATTACGCTATATAGTTGTTGGTGTCAGAAGTCAGAACTGTCAGATGATCTCAATTTATATTGTCATTGTACGTAATTGGCTATAGTTTATTATAATGCATTCCCAAAAGGAAGGAGTAGGTATAAATTTGGTTAGGATCATGCAGCATCTATTGGGTGCATTTTTATAAATATTAAAAAAATTGATATCTTAATAATTTTAGCTATGAATAAATTAGTATCTTCTATATATATAGCCTAAAAAAGTATAATTTGTTATTTTGTGACGATATATTATTTGTGCACAAAATTACAAATTATTAAAATTTTTTAAATTTTCGATTACATTGTATTAGTCATCAGTTATCATCCAAAGTAAAAAATGCGCCTTTTTATTTTTATTTATAAAGGTAAAAAGACAAAAATAAAAAAAAATATTTTATTAACAAAAAATGGTGCTTTCTTTGTTAAAATAAAATAAACAACAACTATTAATAAATATAATTTAAATTATCTTGGATCGGCCGGATAATCAATCGAATTAACTGGCAGATCCTACATTAATTACTATTTTTTCAATATTAATAAATATTTATTGGTGAATATTTTGTGATTTAGTGAATGGATAGGCTGCTGCGGCAAATTTGGTGAGGTGTTTATTTTTTTTGTAATTTAGGTTGGTCTTATGGTTATGGGTAAATGGATCAATTTTGTAATTTAAATTTGAGTTACCTACCTATGGATGAATGGATTGGCTGCTACTGATATATGCGGGTGAATATCTTTTTTAATCAATTATCAATTACATTTTTTTTTAAATAAATTTATTTTTCTTATAGTTTAGATTCAACCTTACAGTTATGGAGTTTTTTGTAATTATACTTAGAATCAACTGCTGCGGTAACATTGATATATACAGGTGAATTTTTTTGATTAATTATTAATTAAAATTTTTTATTTTACTAACTTTTTTTATTAAACTTATTTTCTTTATTATTCTTATTTGTTTATTAAATTTATTTTATTTAATAAAATTTATTTTTTTTATACTAGTTTAGATTCGGATCAGCTGCTGCGGCAAATTCGATATGTTCAATGATTATTAATTAGTAATCAATAATTTTTTTTAGCATACTTGTGATGTATGTTGAGGTTACAGGTTTAAATCCTCCCCTCATGTACTATCTCAACATTGATGTCCTCCCAAAACATGGTCTAGGTTTGGTTTGAGTAGCAATTTTTTTTTTTTTTAAAAAAAAAAAAATATTGGGCAATTTATAAGTAAAATCTCTTTGAAAAACAATTTATATGAACGAGGGAAATAATTTTAATATCTGTAAACCTATTCTGTTAAAATTTTTTTATTATACTTAAATGAAAAACAAAATTTATTATTCATTAAATAAATTATTTAAATTATTTATTATTTTATTAGTACAAACCAAATTTCGTAGCATTGCATTACTATCGAAATCTTCCAGCTTGGATTGTTCAATTAATGAACAATCTGAAATAAAGAGTCACCCATTCAAGGAATTAAACATATAAAACAGTCTGTTTACCTATCTGTTTTTGATTTACATTTCAAACCCACCCATTAAATTTAATGATTGCACATATCACAACTGTCATCTATGTACTTTCTGTATCTAATGAAAGTATCAATAGTGGTATCTTACAAAAAGGTACCTTCGGACTCGCTCTTATCCTTGAAATCCTTTACTCCTGGTTATGAAACGGAATGATCAGGATCATGTGAATTTTTGTTATGCTGGGATCGCACATTTCCTTCCATCACTCACGTCACGTACGCGTTATAATATACGCCAGTTTAAGTTGCAAACACTCAAAGCATGATGTAAAAACTATTAAACTATTAAAAATAATATTTTATTAGTGATTCATTTGTATTAATACATCTAGAACAATTACATATATTATTTAACTAATCAATCTTAAAGGCGGAAAACTAGTGCACATGATGATCTCATCCTACAAATCTGCAATAACTTATTGATCAGGGTAAATAATTTAGTGTAAGGAGTAATGCAAAATGCTACTTTCTTGCAATCTTGCTGATTTCCTTTTGGATGGTGACGCTTCTAGCGGCTTTTCATTGGTGGGAGAATATTTCTGTACCTTACGCGATATATCTTGTAATTTTAAGTAATAGTCCATTACCCTGCTCTATAATGTCAAATATGAAATTAGATCAACAATCATTTTTATAAAGTGATTACAGGACTCATACCTTGGAGAAATACACTTTTTCAATCACCTCATCAATCACATACAACTGGTCCTTGTTGTCTGGAATCGTAAAGTTCGTAACAGTGCCTACAATGTGTAGACCTTCTTTAATATGGTGCATCAGAATATATTGTTGTTTCACGCTCTAAAATGATAAAGCAAGATACGATGAATAATTGATCAATAACTGTTACACAAACGTAATGTTACTTACGGTACACAAGCACACCCAAGCTTTGAATATTTAGAAGTTATTCTTCTGTTGCATTGCGTTTTAAGTGGTGCTGGCGTTGATAAAAAATTGATATTTGAATCACTATAAAGATAAACAGACTGTGAGCTTTACTGCATAAATTCTTCAAGGCAAAGAATATCCAATAATTGCAAACCTTTGAACAGTTTTCCATATCCCCACAGCATCCGGTAAGATCCACATTCATCACATTACCCACCACTTCCAAAAACTAATCTCAATTTCACATGCATTCACATATATCCTTTAGGATTCCATCAGGGTTTGACCCAAGGCTTACACGAGACTTTTGGACTTTTGTTTAATTTCAATGTCTTTTTCGTAAATTGCTCTCTATCTCTTCACTAGAAAATATAATATTTGATAAATAAAGAGATTATTATTGTGTATGTACAAAACTACATATATAATAACATACTGATGTTGTCGCTCATATCTTAAAATGCCTTCAGAATTATAGGATTAACAAATGATTCCTGATAAGCTAGCTCCAATGTATTTGCATCTTGAAAGGTGAGGAGAACAAAAATACACTAAAAGATAATATAAAATTAATGACTGTGTTATGATACATTAAGTGACAAGTTATGCTTACAATCACTGATAGATGTCCTCATAGTCTTCGTAATTATCACTTGAAAATACATCATCATCATCTATCCTTGCTTCCTGGATAAAGACGAAAGACAACCAAGTCAAAAACTAATTTTGAGGAAGCAATTCATAAGATATAATATACCTTTCTGGACAACTCTTCACAAAGGAGGTTTACAGTTGTTTTGGAAACCTTTTGAAGTTCATCAAAAGAAGAAATAATATTAGCATGTGGTGCCATGCAAAAAAAGCTGCCACCTTTTCCATGGCAAGTGACGTTAAATTAATGTTAAATAAAATTAAGAACCTTATTAAATAAAATACATTGCTTGGTTTATTATTACATAAAAATTATAAGACACGAATTTTGGGTTATAAAAATATAATATTTATTGGGTTAAGATTATTACATTGTGAAAATAATTATAAGATTAATAAATGTAAGAATAACCTTTCCAGAATCATCCCCCTCAAATTCTCTCAAAAGTTACTCTTTATATAACGAATTTAAGGGTACTTATTTTAGGGTTATTAATTTATAATGTTTCACTATCCTTTAATGTTACATCATATTTACTATTATTATTAATGTTTATCACAATGCGGGTCTATTTGTTTCATAATGAAATGATCTTCATCACGTGATCATTAATATTGCGCGAGGTGGTTTAATATTATTATTACCTAATAAATTACTGACCTATTTACTACTTTTAATTTTGATAAAATTATGACACTACAGCGGCATAGACCAAGAGAGTGGATATGCACACTTCTCCTGTCGAAGCATACTTCTTAGAAGGAAGTAATCCATGCACCACATGCAGCCACCGCCAGCAGAAGCACCACATCGACGATGGATGTGGACTACTGGTAGCTCGGACCACCCACACGCGAACAGACATCTGTTTTTGTGAAAGAGGCTGGTGACCGTCCACATCACGTGAAGTTTCTTCCTCCTATCTTACTCTCAAAACCAGCATACCTTTGTTCTCCTATTTTATAGGAGCTTTTTGGCAACACATAATTTTGCACCAGTTATGTTTCGAGACTTCGTCATATCAGCGGCTTCCAACGTGACTTCGGATCCAAAAATTGTTAGCCTTTTCTTCTTGAACATTCCTTCCCAACCATTTTCTAATCCTGTTTTAAAAGCGCGTAATACTTGTTCCCTTGATAAGCTACTCGGTCGTGATTTTACCGTATTGTGTAAAAAATGCGACAGCTTCCACTCCAAAGGATTTACTCTATCGAAATAATCTGAGACATACCGTGGCAACTCCATTGTTTCTTCTTCCACTTGTTCTTGTTTATTTTGGTGCGCTCTAGCTTTGACCATAATGCAATAAATAATATTTTGTATTGTATCTTCAAAGTTTCGTGGCTTATCAAAAAAGGGAAAGTAAGTTTGACGTGAACATAAACAACAAACGCGAAATTGTAGGAAACAAACTCACATATATACAGTACTTAAATTCTGCATTTTGGTTTCATGCACGTGATTCCATACACACGGATTGAGTAGTGCGTGATAATTAATATGTATTACATAAAGTTGCAACATGTTTTATAACAATTACATATGATTTTATTTGAATTATTTTATTCATCTTCACCATCAATTTCTTCATTATTTATTTCCTCATCCATTTTAGTAAGAACTTATTACAGATAACTTTATTAATTCAAAGAAAATTGGGTGAAAGAAAGGTTCCGAAGTAAATTGTAATTTTATCGCGTATCATTAATTTATAGTATATTGCAAAGTTAATAAAAAATGGTATAAAGTCTATTTTGATGCGCAGTCATGCACATGCATGGTGCGATTGGTGCGTGCTGCATAGCATGTTATCATCACTACTATCATGCACCTCTACTTATTTCACATGGTTAATGGTTGATTGATTGAGATTTAGACATTTTCCACGTCATACAGAAACCTGCCAAATTCAAAAATATATCAGATATATAGCAGGTGTGCTTCTGTTAAGTGTTAACTCTCTTATAACTCGATGTTTATGATATATCGGACATATGTTAGAAATCAGGATAAAAATATGTTAGCAATCTATCGAATATATATTAAAAATATAATATTTTTTTATATAATAATCATATATATCGAATATATTTTAAATCTTATGACGGGAGTGATCGACATTCATATTTATTATTAAACTATTACATTTAATCATAAATTTTGTTATCTATCAAAAATAATTAAAAAATATTTTTCGGCAAAAAATTTTCTAAAAAGGCCGCAGCAGTCATCACGTGGAATTTTTTGATTGGATATGGGTTCTTTGATTGTCGTTAGAAACTAGGTAAAATATGCAAACAAGAATTTCTTGTTCTAAGAAATACCAAAAGGTTTTTAATGGCAATCTAGAATAGATTTTATGAATTATAAACGCTCTTTGGATTGGAGGAGTTTTTTGGAATTTGGAATTTGGAGAGAGGTATTAGGATGCGTGGACGGATGAGGATTCACTGTTCAAGGTCGATTACGATTACGCTTTCAGATTTTGGAAGGCTTCTTCCCCTTGGTTTTTTTGGACTATTGGATTTTTGTACAGCGTTCAGAACTGCCATTTTTTCATGGCCAGGCACAGGTTACGAAGCCGATTTCCTAAAAAAAAAGAAGAAAATTAAAATCGTTTTTTTACTGTAAAGTTTCGAATTATTTTTCGAAACTTATCTGGATTCTCGAAGCTGATTTCCTACAAAAAAGGAAAACAAAAAATTTTTTTAAAAGCTTTACTTACAATATTTGGTATTTTCGATTTTTAAGTTGAAGCCGATTTCCTATAAAAGAAAAAAAAAAGGTCAGAAATGATTTCGGGCTAAAAAAATTTTTTTTTTAAATCATAACTTGGAAATCCAGCGTTCATTTCGGAGCTGGGTAAAATATACTTAGCTGAATAGTCTGTTCCTTTTTTTTTTAAAAAAAAAAATCAATTTTACGGTATAAAAATCCTTTTTCTTTCTATGCTTTTGTTCAAAAGAAAAGTAAATTGATAAGTAAAAAAAAGATGATAAAAAATAGCTTTTTTTAAAAAGAATTCGGTCATTGGCACGTTAAAAAGGATAAAATTTAGTAATAAAAAAAAAGAAAAAATCGAATCGTTTATTAAACGTTTCTTTAATTATTAAGAAATTTATAGAGGGAAGAGAAAGGATGAGGGAAAAGGAAAGGCATAGGACGAGGGAAAGGGAAAGTATGAAGGAAGGGAAAAGTTTCGAAAAAGCTTAAAATTCTAAAAGGGATAAGGTTCGAAAAAGCTTAAAATTCTAAAAGGATAAAGTTTAAATTTTAAAAAGGGAAAAAGTTTCGATAGTTTAAAATTTTATTAAATGAGTTTAATATTAATCACGTGATATACGTAATAACTAAATAGAGAAAGGATTCAAAATAAACTTTAGTCGAAATTTATTGCAATAAACCATAAAATTCCACATGACCAAATTTATATACATTTCAAATACTAAGAATTGCAAAATATATAAATTAAGAAATACATACAAATGTAACAGTCATAATTTTGCAATATTTTTTGCATATATCCGTAATAAATATTTTATTAGTTGTATTTCAGTATATAATAGAAATATTCCAAAAATATGTTATTTATATTACAAAAATATTTGTTAAATTATTAGTAATTTGGAAATATCATAAAGCTATTCTGTCTATATCTATATGTCATTGATATTACAAAAATATTACATAAATTAAAATATGTTAAATGAATGCCATCTATTAGTGATATGTTTAACATTTTATGAAAATCAAAGATTCAGCAAAGTAGTAAAAAATAGATCGCCAATGGACAATGATAGATAGTGTTATGTCGTATTTGATATCAAAGTGAATAGAAATAATGTACTATTCAAAAGATAGGAACCACAAATATATATGTAACTGTCAAAAACATCTAATACGATCAAATCGGATAATTCACTATATTTACAGTTCATCGCCAATGTCTATTATAATATAATTTATTAGTATCTTATTTAAAACGTAAAATGTACAATTATAAACCATTAAAATCAAATACCTCTTAATTGTATAGAATTAGAAACTTCTAGGTCGTTTAATTGACTAAATTGAGAGCCGAAATCTATTAAACATATCGTTATATTATTTTTAGTTATTTTTCTTCTAAAATGATCTCAAAAATAAAAAAAAATACCTCCATCGCTTTCTTCATTATTAACATAGTATGCCGTAGTTTTGGTAATAAATTGCTAAATGTGAACGTTCTACCAGTATATATAGCATTAGAATTATTTTTGTATGAAGATGCGATGCTTGGCATTTTTTTATCAGATTCTTCAAACGCAGCCCTAACTTCTTTTTCTTCATAGGATAGTTTTTCGCATATTTCTTTAGGAAAACGTCTAGTAGAACAATACCAAAAAACTAATATCTAGATAATTCATCGCTGGTTGGTCTTTCGTTTGATCCAATTTCTTATCACCGGTCAAAATCTTAAAAATCAGAATCTTTCAGTAAAAAAACAACAAAAGTTTCGTTTGAAACCCACCATAGACCCAAGGAGATCCAAGAAGCCGAAAACCTTACAAAAAAAAGAACAAAACATCAATATGGCAATGTTTCGGCAAAAAAATAACGATGAAGTTGAGTTTCATTTCGAAACTCACCCATAGGCCAAGGGGATCCAGCTGAAAGACTACAAAAAAAAAAGAGAACAAGAAACAATTAGTTAACATTTCTTAAAAAAAATAAAAAATTTCGAAGGAGCCGACCTAAAAACCGAAGACGATACCTATAAAATAGACAAAAGAAGAAACGATTAGTTTCTTCAAATAAAAATTAAAAAAAACTTTCTTAAAAAAAATAAAAAATTTCGAAGGAGCCGACCTAAAAACCGAAGACGAACCTATAAAATAGACAAAAGAAGAAACGATTAGTTTCTTCAAATAAAAATTAAAAAAAACTTTCTTAAAAAAAATAAAAAATTTCGAAGGAGCCGACCTAAAAACCGAAGACGATACCTATAAAATAGACAAAAGAAGAAACGATTAGTTTCTTCAAATAAAAATTAAAAAAAACTTTAAAGTAAATAGAATTTAATAAAAAAACTCATCGATCCTACCATTCCGGATCCAGGAAAGCTCAATTACCGATACCTGCAAAAAAAGAAAAAATTAAAAAAATAATAATAAAAAAAAAAATAAATTTAAAAAGTTCAAAGCAAATCTTACCAATCCAAGTCCAGGTGCCATCCAACGTCGAGAAATTCAACCGAAGAAGTCCAAGAAGCCAACGTCCGAACGGCAATTCCTACAAAAAAAGAAGAAATGATACCTTCCGAAGCTGAAATGAAGCCAAAAGGACCTACAAAAAAACGAAACCGTTAGTAAAAATGTTTTGTTAAAAATTCGAAGGTATATATCCTCGAAATCCCATATAACCGATCCTGGATCCTTACAAAAAAATAAAGCAAACAAGAAATTTACCCCTGATTGTATTGCATGTCGGATGAACTGAATAAAACGAAAGAAGCTGACCCAAAAATCGAAGAGACCTACAAAATAGACAAAAGAAGAAATGGTTAGTATCTTCAAAACAAAATTAAAAAAACAAAAAAAGTTTAAAAGTTTCAAAATGAACCGTTTCGAGACTTACTGATCGTCTCATGATCCAGGAAGCTCAATTTACCGATACCTGCGAAAAAAGAAAAAAAATCAAAAAATCAAAATAAATAAATATATAAATAAATAAATTTTAAAAAGTTTAAAAGTTTTGAAGCAAAGATTTGCTTCGAAACTTACCAATTCATTCCAAGACCGATCTACAGCAAGGTACCGTCCTACAAAAAGGATACCGAAACCAAGTGGCGTCCAATGCCAAAAGAACCGGATACCTACAATAAAAAAAACAAATTAAAAATATTATTACAGATAAGTTTCGGTAGAAACTTACCATATCGGCATATCCGAGTCCAAACCAAAGGAACCGATACTTACAAAAAAAAAAAAAATATGTAAAGTTTACAAAGCGAAGCACCAGCCCCAAAATTTTTTAACTTCTTTTGAATCCTTATCATTCTGTATAAAAAAAAAGATTTCAATGAGTATTTATATAAAAGAATTTTTAAATTAATACTTAAAAATTAAAAACTAATAATAAATTAAAAAAATATATTAAAATCTGACAACTTTTCGGAGGCTGCCAGATTGAGAAATAAAAGAAAATGTTTAATCTGGTGACTTTTCAGGGACTACCAAATTAAACAATAAATTAAAAAAACTGAAAATTAAAAAAAATTACTAAATAATGATTTTTAAAAAAATTAATAGAAGATAATCTGGCGACTTTTCAGGGACTGTCAGATTAAGAAATTTAAGGGAATGTTTAATTTGGCGACTTTTCAGGGACTGCCAAATTAAAACAATAAATTAAAAAAGTTAAAAATAAAAATTAAAAGAAAATACTAAATATATGATTTTTTAAAAAATTAATAGATTTTAAAATAAAAGATAATCTGGCGACTTTTCAGGGACTGCCAGATTGAGAAATTAAAGGGAATGTTTAATTTGGCGACTTTTCAGGAACTGCCAAATTAAACAATAGATTAAAAAAACTGATAAAACTGAAAATTAAAAAAATAAAAGATAATGATTTTTTAAAAAATTAAAGTTATTAAAATAAAAAATAATGTAATATTATAAAAAGTTAAATAACACTGCGATTAAAAAAAAAAAAAAAAATTTTAAATAATTAATTATTTTTAAAAAAAAAAAAAATAAATAAATAAAACAAAAAAATATAAATACTCATTGAAATCACCTTATATCCTGTATTGATTTTGGTCCTTAATTCGGGATTCAAAATACATTCTATGTTTCTTTCATATGTATAGTATTTATTTCTCCAAAAAAATTTCTTATTTGACACCTTTGCATGTCTTTTACGTTTTATTATTTGGAGAATCCATTTCTGTAAATAAAAAATTTTATTAGTATTATTGTATATATAAATTATATTATAATTAAAAATATTTTTAATTTTATGTGAAATAATATAATTAAATTATATAAATAATAATAAATTTTATAAACTGAAACTTACTATACAATTCAAAAAAATAAAAACGAAAAAACGGAAATTGAAAAAGTTTGTATGGTCCTATCTAGATGTTTCTAGAATGATCATCAGTTATATATGAATTTTGATGATGATAATCGATAATCTTGTAAATCGTAAATTTTTTAAGGGATGAGTTTTTTAAATAACGCGAAAATTAGTAATCATGCGAATTGAATTTATTTTTTTTGTTTTAATAAACCGAGTACTTTTTTAAACTTAGAAGTAAAATGAGTGATATAGCAAGTAAGACACCTGTACAAAAAAACAAAACAGCTGCTAAGCCTGGTACTCATAGAGGTTTGGAATTTTTTTACAATGTTGGACAAAAAAAAGATGGACACCAAAGTTGTAAATGTAATTACTGTCTATGACGTGGTGAGCCAAGTAATATAGAAGCACATTTAGCACATTTAGCACTTAGCTGTCATAAAATGCCTCTTGATATCAAAGAAAAGTTTTTACTTGTGATAAAATCACGTGATAAAATCAAATTATTAATTTAGAAGAAGAAAAATCTATATTACCAATAAAAAGTCGAACAACTATAAGGGCAAAACACCGAAATAGTTTAAAGATATAGAAGAAAAATATACGTTAAGCAACTATCGTACGCTTATGTATCGCATCCACGAGCTAATGGACACTACATTGGAACAACTCTCTCAAAGAAATATTCTTCGGCAAGACCTTATCACAAGACACCAACAACTACTCCTCTATTTCTCCCAGCTTCAACGAACCATACTATAGACCCATCGAGTACCGTTGATATTGATTCCATGTCCGGGATGTTCGCTCAATTCGTATTATCCGCGTGATATAAGACCTAGATGTGTCATTACCAACAAGACCAATCGCCTCAACATTTTCAAAGTACAACACAAACATTTTCTAATTTTTTTCCTTCTTCCAAATATTTTTTAGCTACTAAACCTTTATTTAATTTACGCTTTATAGCATATAGTATTTTTTTATATAGTCAGGGAAAACTGTCTTCGGAGACTGACTCTATGGCTCAGTTATCAACGCCTGATATATCTTTTTCACTCAAAAATGTCATCTTACAAATCGGAAAGGCGATCAATTGTCACCATAATGTTAAATCTAGATTAATAGATCTAGCAACTCAATTCGCTCCTTATGACTATTTCCACTTTTACATTGACGGTTCAGTCAAACAAATAGGCTCCCAATATTGCAAAAGCGGATTTGGATGGATTCAAGTTTCCCATCCCGCTCCTCAGTGCACGTTCCATGGATCAACCGTTTTTTTCCTTCATCCTACAAAAGCGAAGCCATGGGTATTCTAACGGCCCTTCTAACACTTCCGTACAACAGTACATGTACTATATCCACCGACTCAGCCAACTGTATTCAAAGTTCAAACGTACCAAAAGCGCATGAATTCACTCACGCTCAGCCCACGTCACAACTCAAACAAAATAGTTTTCTGATCTGGAACCTAATATTTTGGCTTATTCACCATCGAAATATTGTATTGGTTCTGAAAAAAGTTAAAGCTCATGAAGTCGACACATACAATAACCGCGCGGACGAACTTGCTTTGCCAGGGACTTATTTAGAAGATCTAATAATCGTCAATCACAATTTTTTTCATCCACTTCTCTGGGTTTCATTAACTGAAACAATATATACATAGTGGATCGCAGCATCAGAAAATGGAGTGATACACCCATTCAAGCCTGGCTCTTTAATTCCGTAGTTAACAACTCTTCTTTAAAACCTATTGAAAATCAAATCACCCATGAAAAAATAGACTGGTATTACACCCGCCTTTGGCTTTTATACAATCCAACAGAATCACCTACAAACGACAAATTGGCACGTATTCAGGGATCCCAAGGTCAAAAAATCTAATTTGTTATATCCTACTGCAGATATTCTTCAACGCAATTACCCAGCTGGTTTAAGCATTTGACATATAAGATAAACGAGAAACCCGATATTTATAGCCTTGTAGTAATATTCTGGGAATTAACAAGTCGTTCATCGCCTTTTAATTACGAAAAAGAGGATCTCATTTCTCTTTATTCTTGTTATAAACTAATTGTGATTTATTTGAATAGAATGTTGGGAACTCGAACCAGAAAAACGGCCAGATATTCATCAAGTAAATTCGGCACTTAAATGCATTGATTCCGAAAACAATAATACGTTTATTGTTTTTTATTCCAAAGAGGAGATAAACAAAAAAAAAGAATTTTCTATTTAATATGCATTTATTGTAAATAAAATAGTTTACAATTTTAGTTACTAATAAAAGAATTTAACTCATAAATGTTTAATACATCATTAATTAATTCATTCACACGCTCATAAAATAGTAAATATGCTCCACCATTATGTACTTCATCAACCGTAACAGCTCTTACAGAACTATCAATCCATTGTCTTTCACTACCTGTTTTATGAGTTTTTACATAATTAGGCTACGATTGGCTGGATCAATAAGTGTAAGACCAACTCCATATCTTGTTTGGACATCACTTAGTATCAGATGTATAGGAATTACAAAATGGTACGGGCCGTCAAATGCATAATATATTCCCCATAAGCATCCATCGTTGTCAAACACGGCCGATCCTGAATCACCAAGTTTGCCTATATAAATAAATTTTAATCAGAATAGGAAAGACGTTGCTTTAATACATATACCAACTTACCAAATGGTTGTCCATTTATGCCAGAAACGAGTAAAGCAGATACTTTTAATACTTTTCCAAATGTATCAGTATAAAAGTACATCATTTGATCAGTTATTATTCCTTTTGTGAGGTAACTTGTTCTGCCACATTTATAAACATATGACATAGCTTTTGGGTCATTTCTAATAAAACTCTTGCACTTATGAATAACGATTTCAGTATCACCAAGTGGTTTGTTTGTATTAACTAATGGCACCCTGTGACAATTTTCCACTTCACAAAAAGCGTAATCTAAAAGATTACTACTCTCGTTAACACCATGGAATTTGAATGTAACTTGCGCGCAGGGACTTGTTTTTGGATCCTAATTGAATTTCAAAAATGTAAAACTTCAGTTCAATAGTTACGGAAAAAATAAATTCATACGTTTTCAAATCTTCCCTCTCCAATTGCATGTCCCGCAGTAAGTATAAATTTCTTGTCGCTTGTCTGGAAGAAAGCTCCTAATGTGAAGGCATTTTCGGCTTCTGAACATCCAATGCTAATACCGGGCCTGAGTATTTCATGATAAACTCGAGGATTAGAAGCTAATTGAGCAACTCCGTATCTAAAGAGCACTTGGTATCCTTCAAAAGTTGCTGGTAGACAGATTTCTACCGTTTCGTCAGGGAAAATAACAATCAATGAAAGTTTATCATCAACTATTCCCGGACCTACAAAAGCTTCCAGATTTTTCCCTTCTTTTTCAAATTTATTAAGAAAGGCTATTCTGGCTCCCATAAGCTTTTTGAGTTGCTCAAAGTCATCTACTGTTTCAATTTTACGATCCCCGAGATGTTTTGCGTATTCTTCTTGATGTATCATTAAGTTACTTGTTTCACACTTTGAAGTAGTTCGTAGGTAAGACAAATTATTTTTTCCACATATTTTGCATATCTTGCACATCTTGCACACGTGATATACTGGAATTTATTTGTTAGTTGTTACATAATACAAAACATTTAAACAAACGCCATAAGTTTTCTTCCTTGGTTACCTTGAATATAAATATTGTCTTCAACCCGGTTGTTAAAAATTTCTTCAACACTACTTTCGTTTTTTATCTCCATTCCTTCAACGTTTTCGAGTTGCAAATTTTCTTTTTCACTAAAAGGGATTTTCACTTTCCATACGGGTATGTTGATATCAAGGATTCCTATATTTTCCCAAATTAATTTTTTTAAATCATGACCGTTTTTATCTGTATCAATAATAATTTTGAAATAGTCTTGGTTTCCAAGAGCTGTTTCCTTGACACAACAATTAAGTGTAAGAGTAGTCATTTTTCACGTAATTTATTGCGCTTTTTTTTTATAAAAAATAAAAAATGTTTAATTGGGGTACTATATATATGTAAATTAAATTATCAAATAGCTTATAGGAGTTTGTACAATTATGGTCGCGTTATCATTAGTCATTTCTGCTCGGAATGATTTATTATAATATATAAAGCAGATGTTGATTTAAAAAAATATTTACAACAATCTCAAAATAAACTTTCATGGAAAGAAAGAATAAATATTGTTTATGATATAATTCTTGCACTAAGTGTTATTCATCATGAGAATGCAATTCATAGAGATTTACACTCTGGGAATATATTGTATTTAAAACTAAATAAAAGATGGGTTATTAGTGATTTTGGATTTTGTGGACCTGCTGATAAATCAACAGAAAGTATATATGGAAATCTTCCTTATATAGCACCAGAAGTTATTTCTGGAAGGAATACTACAAAAAAAATCTGATATTTATAGTATTGCAATGCTTATGTGGGAAATTTCATCTGGGCAACCTCCTTTTAATGATTTTGAAAATGATTATAATCTTGCATTAAAAATAATTAATGGAATGAGACCAAAAATAATAGCAGGAACTCCTTTAAAATATGAAAATTTAATGAAACAATGTTGGGATGCTGATCCATCAAAAAGACTGATATTGCAACACTTTGGAAAGAAATTAAGAAACTTTTGAAATCTTATCAAAATATATCAAATGAAACGCTTCAAAAAGAAATAAATGATAACTTAGAAACGGATAAAACAAATACAAATTATACAAGTAGCAAATTATTTACAAGTAAAATTTATCAATTTAAAAATTTACCAAAACCAAAAAATGCTACGGAAGGTATAATTTTAATATTTATTATATTTAATAATAGTTTTATTATTTAAAAAAATATTGATGTTGTTTTTTAATTTAAATAATTTAAATAATAATAGAAGAGCAAAAAGGTAAGATTTATACTATAACAATTGAAAATATAGATATGTATTATAACGTTTGTTTATATATAAGATAATACTTACTGTAAAACTTTTAAATAATTTATTATCTTTTAATAGAATTTCATAGTAATAAATCATACGACCACTTTAATATTCCTTATAATAGTGAGTATTTGTAAATATTAATTTAACAAATATGACATATTTATTAATTTTAGTTAATGATTTTAGTAGTTCAAGTAATCAAAGTTATGGTAACACATCCAAAGCAAGTAGTAAAATTTTAAAAGGTAATTGGTCATTTAAATTTTATTCTTTTTTTTTTTTTTTAATAGTATGAACTTATAGCCATTTGGCTTTTAAGTTATAGCAATTATAAATTATTAATTTGTGTTTTAATAAATTTTTAGATGACAGTAAAGAATTATCCAAATCATTTGATGAATTGCAAATAAATTCAAATAATGGCAAGTAAATAATTATTCTTATTTTAATTAAATTCTTAACTCCTTGAATATAACATATTTTACATTTTTATAGATATTCAAATTAATTATGGAAAAGAAATAGTGGAACAACAACAAATAAAGAATATCATCAATGATGGTATGTATAGATTTTCATAATTGACTCTATTAAATTTATTATCATAATATTATCATTCTATTTTAATTTTTCTTTATAAACGAGGATGAAGTCCATGATGATAAAAAATTTTCATTTGGAAGAACAAGATGAATTGGAAATTCCGGATGGAAAGTGTTTTCATATTGTCATATGTGTTTTATATATTTGCAAGAAAAATATTTTTGTATTTAATTATATTTGTATATTATTTATTAATTAATTTATTTATTTAGATGGATTTTAAGTTACTTAATATCTGACAGAATATATTTTGCTTACTTTTATTTTTTTTTTTGTTTTGAATTATTTAAACACTAAGTATAGAGTAGTAAAATTTTTTACAAGATTCTTAGTTTGTAATTTAAATAATTCGTTATTTTTATTATTATTGTTATAACTTTCTCATTAAATAAATAATTTAACTTTTATGATAATATAAAATTTGACACTGCAAATGAATTATTTTATATATGGAGTGGAAAGTTTAAAACTGATTTTATGAGCTTACAACAAATAAGTTATAGCGATATCTGATATGGGAATGTCGTACGATAATAATATTTTAGTACGATGCTAAAATTTTAAAATTTTTATATTAGAGCAAAGTTGGTGTGATTTGTTCGTTGAATTTTGTTTATTTTCTGTATGAAGGACCATTAGAAGAACACATTGTGGCGGATTTATGAAATTTAGCAAAAACCCTTCTGCGTCCTTGAGAATTAAATTGACTTAACAGAAACATTAAACCTTTTTTCCTAAAATATCAAATAATGACACGTCATTAACACTGGAAAAATTGGTTAGGTGACGGGAAAATTGGTTAGACGCAAAATTTATCATTTTTACTGTTCACTAATAAATTTGGGACTTAAATAGAAATTTGGTGACCAAAATACTGTCAAATATTTATTTAATTTAATTTGAATCCGCCATGATGTTAAAATTAACTCTATCAATAATATAAAGTAAAATTGGAAGAATCAAATTTATAAAAATATCCCATTTTCCATGTCAATTAATTACGTGCATTTTTGGCCCGAACAGACGATCAAATCATAATGTAGGCTGAAATTACAATTCTAATTACGTGGTATTTATCTTTAACGATCACGAATATTTTGGTTAATTAGTTAATTGGTTAATTGAACGATGAGAATAATTTTAATATATGATTTTTAATAATAATTATTATTATTACAAATATTGGATGTATGGATAATTTAATACTCATGTTAAAATTCATTAGTTATCGTAACGAAATATGAAAATTATTAAAAAAAATTACCAAGATGATATTTGATTTCACCTTCATTTTTCTTGATTTCTGCTTGTGTTGTTTTAATCTCTTTACCACCTTTACCACGATAATTTTGGTCCCAATTTTGTTAATTTTGTTTTCCTAAAAAAATTGAGTCATCCTTTTCATATTTTTTTAGAGACGTAAGTTTTGATCTTCCTGAATGTGAATTTAATTCAAAAAAAATTTTTTGAGAAAAAAAAAATGATTAAACCTCAAACTTTCGCTTACAATTCTAAGAAAAAATATATTTTTTTCTTACGCATGAATATTTTTCTGATTTTTTTTCATTTTTTTTCCTAGCAAAATTTTTAATTTTTCTTAGTCAATGACATGTATTTTTTTAGAGACTTTTAATAATAGATCACACTGACAATATTTGATGATTTTGTAAACTATAAAATAAATAAATACCCATAAATTAGATATGTGCAGTAATACTTGTTTCCGATTCGTCTACGTACTTGGCCCATAACTCCTTTATTTGATATATATTTTGTATCAATTATTCCCATTAATACTGTATAACATATAATACTATTTTTAATACTAAAATCCATACGGCATCTCTTAAATGAAATATTTGAAGGTGAATAATATAAAATGATTAAATAAAGTAATTCAAATCCATTACAGGGAAAAAGCAAAAAACCAAGTGTAGAGCAGGTATAAATGTTATAAATGAACAGCATATTAGTATATATAAAGTATCATTCAGTTGTGCTGAATAGATGAAAAAGACCAAACATCACCATCTTTGCCGTATATTATGCTGGTGGTAAAGTCATTCTATCTACTTATATTTTATCCTATATTATTAATTCAGAACAAATTGAGACCATCAATTATGTGCCATTTAGTTGTACAGAAAATTATAATCAAATTTAATTTATCATTTTCCAAACGACAAGGTCTGGAAATTATATTAAGAATAATGTTAAAATGCCACATTTCAATACAACATGATGATTCCAGTTTACAATGTAGTAAACTGGAATGTTGTTTGCATTCCAGTGAATTAAGTATGGTGCAAGATAAGGTCTTGTATTTTGGCTGGTTGGATTTGCAAGAATCGAAATTGCTCCAAGATTAGGGTTCCCATAAAAATGAGATCCTCTATCAGGTAAAGCAATTGTGACAAATTCAATGTTAAAAATGCTATCTAGGTCATGTTGAACCTTATCAATTTTTTCTAATGCATTCTTATGATCTGGATCCCTATTGTAAAATACCTACAGAATTACAAATGTGTTGAAGTTAAGATTAGTGAAGATTAACATGTTTATCCTTTTTAGTTTTCAAGCAAAATTTAACAATAACCTCGAGCCATAGATCAGGAGGTATACAATAATTCTTAATAGGTTCGTGTAATTCTCATATGATGGCCATTGGAACCAAGCACCAGCATCAGACCTCCATTGATCATTCCCAACCATACAAATTACAGCCTCCATCATATTAATTTAAAAATTAGTAAGAATAATATCATATGCAACATGTAAGTTAGAATGAACTACTCTGATGAATAGACGATCATAGTTAACTATTTCAGCATTGTAATATTAATGTATCATTTGGCATGCACTAAGGTTCTTAAGTTTACCATCTGAAAAAGTGGACTTTAACTCTCACCGCCTCTTCTATTTGTGCAAGAATCTGATATGATTGTTAGTCATTATTCACTTTTTATTGTTCTTACAATAAATATCATACAAATACCTTTTGAGTTTCTGAAGCTTGTCTGTTCTGTTGTGAGATTTTCATACAATATATCAATATATATCATTGAAAACAGACTGTTTGACCAAACAAAAGTGAAAAAAATAATACCTGCGCGGACTTTTCAGAACCAATCATTTCAACACTCATGTTTGTGAAGAATGGAAAAAAAGATGAGAGAGATAGAAAAAATGTAGGTTATTGTCTTATTAATCTGATCAGTGATGATGATATTTGATTTTACAATCTTCCTGCAAAAAAAGCTCGGACACATGGCTGAAAGACTTCTATTATCAACATGGATTTGCTGATCAACTACTACGGAATAGTTCAGGCGCAGACAAATCATGTGTTAGCTAATCTAAACGTTATGTTATACAGGGAATTTTTTTAGTATATTACTAACCTAATATGGAATAGATTAGGCGCGGCAGATCATGTGTTTCATATTAACACAATTCAAATTATTTATATACGGTAATCTAAACATGATCAAATTTTTGATGTTAAAATAAGTTTCAGTAAATTTTGGTTATATAAGTTTCAGGTCGGGATTATGGATTCGGGAAAAATAAATACATAGTGATAACATTTCATCTGTATAGAGATGTATTAAAATTATAAAGTTAACAATTAATACAATTTCCAAAATAGAAGTTTGTACAAATTGGAAATAGCATAGAAAATATCATATAAATCTATAAGGATTTTTTAAATTTAAATAAATAATACAATAGATAAAAATTTTATTATTTTATTTATTTTATCTTAAATTTACAAGTACTAGATTAAATATTAAATATTTTAAATTTTATTATATATATAATTGTCACTTCATCAGCAGTTTTCCATAGAATGCGACGAAATCCAATTACTAATATGACATATCCCTTCAATTTATTAGGATTTGATTTTGTTATTTTAATACGCTCATCAATCACCCCTGAAGAATTACTGGTTGCTTTTCCTTTTGAAATTGTTTTCATATGAATTTAATTGATTCATCCCATTATTTAATATATCACCTATAGTTGTTAGTTTTGTTTTTTTATCTTCTTTTGACCAATATGTATATGGTCTTTTTAATATAGATTCTTCATCTTCCTTTTCAAGTATTTTGTCTAGCTTTTCAAGTTCATTTGCACCAAGATTATTTTTCTGCATACCATTCATAAGGCCAACTAATGAAATATACTTTAATTCTAAAATAACATTATTATTTCCTTTATAACTTAAAATAAAAATGTCTGAAAAACCAAAACGGCCTGAACCTTTTGGCCTTTGACTATTCATTACTAATGTGAGCTCTGGAATACAATACTTTAATGACAAAAGATTTCCCATGATTGCCTGAAGTACATATTCATTTGCTGAAGATAGAGACATTCATGATCTTGAAGATAAAGAAGCAATAAAAGGTATAATATTATTTGCAATGAGGCTTTCATATGCTGAAGCAATATGAAGTGCATTATCAATAATTTGTCTCTATGCTAAACTTTCCTTGTTTTGCCCTAAAATTCAGCTTTGACTTTCCTAGTGTTCTAATAGATGTAATTTAATATCAATATATATAAATGTAAAAAAAAAAGAAATAATATGATAGGTATTATAACTTACCAGTAGTTAACTCTCTATTATCATCTTTTACTCTTTTCAACTCTCTCTTTTGTTTATTTTGAAGAGTATATTTTTATTTTCCTTAATGACTTTTTCCAGAATATTTGCATTTCTTTTACATAATGCAAATACTCTACATTTATCTGTTATTAGAAAGAAATTTTTAGTGGTGTGTAAATTTTTTATTTAGTAATAATTTAGTAACAAAAAGAGTACATAGCCAATTCTGCCTCCAGAATTAGCAGACTTTATCAAAACAAATGTAGGATGCCTGAAGTGAGATATTGAGTTGATTACCAACATGTCAAGACAGTAATTCTCCTAATTAAACAAGGAATTTCCTAACTTGACATATATTGTTATTTCCTGATTTGCTGATTGTTAATAAAGTAATTTCTTGATTTCCAGGTTGTTGATACAATAATTCTTTAAATCAAACCAGGAATTCCAAGCTCACTTAGGAGTTACCCTACTTTGCAAAATAAAAAAATAACACACCTTTTCTTTAAAATCCTCTTGATATAGATCTAACTTTTCTACTTCTTCTAAGAAATGACTAATCCAGGTATTATTAAGATCCTGCCAATTATCTTAGAATGTTGAAGTAACAATTACAACATTATAATATGAATTCAAAAATCCATAATATGATGATTTACTGCCTCGCTCATTTAGATATGAAATGAGATCTAAAAGGTCGAAAAATTAGTTAGTAGCTAAATATTACAAGTCGCCATACTGTTCACAGGACTTACCCTTTTGGCCAGAATAACTCTAGAATGTGCTCATGTTGATTAGTTTCGTGTAAATAATAAATTTTTAAAGAAAAAATAAAATAAAAAGAGTAAAGAATTAAGATAAAGAATGGAAACAGTCAAGAATATAAATTATTAAATAATAGAAAGAATAAAAAAATATAGAATAGAAAGTATAAAAAAAAATAAAGAATAAAATTGAAAGAATAAAGAGTTAAGAGGATGAAGAATAAAAAGATTAAAGAAAAAATTAAGGATTTAAAAGAAAAATAAAAGGAGAATAAAGAATTAAAAAGAATAAAGAATTTGAAAAAAAGAATAGAAAGAGAATAAAGAATTTTAAAAAGATTATAAAGAAAAAGAGTTAAAGATAATTTGATTTAATTAAAAACAATGCAATAAAGTCTATGTATATATATTATTTTTTGTAACACAAACATAAATTTACTATTTATAGTTACACAATAAATATACTAGTCGCGGTAGTGCGGTACTAAAAACATTTCATTTCATATTTAGTTAGAGGGATAAGCCAAATAGTCTAAATAGTTTAATCACGGCGGAACTGTGATGATCAATGATATCTATGATATCTCGACTTCCCTATGAAATAACTAATTTTCTAAGACTTTCCTTTAAAGGCTACGGCTAAAGTGTAGCCTATAAATTTAATTACGTAAGCTAATTGCTTTAATTATAATATTATAAACATTCTTTATTGTTAAATAGGACTGAAATATTTGTAATCAAATATATATATATTATATATATACTGCAACTAATAATAGACTCCTCTTTACTTTTATTTGCATCAATGTGTTTTTTAAATGTATACAACATTCTTTACTAATTACTGTATTATGTAATTAAATGTGATTATTCACATATATAAGATACTATATTATACTCCAAGTAATATTATAAAGGTGCTAACCATTTTTTGTTATTATATCCATAAGAACATATTTTAAAGGTACGAGTCCATACATGGCTCTAAACCGGACCGCACTACCATAATTATAAACTTCAGAAGAGCTGAATCTGTTGTTAACAGTTGTTTTTCCGATATAGTTGCGCCTCCTAACAAATATTATTTGACACAGGTAGTTTGTTTTTGTTTGAATAAATATGTTGTAACGAAAAATACTAATATTAATCTTATTTCAAGTAGATGTTCGTTCGATTTAGTTGACAAAGGGCGCCTCCTGACAGATATTATCTGGTTCAGGAGTAGCCCAAGTGATAGTGAAGGACAACTCCTGACAGGTATTACCTGAGTCCGGATTGTGGGATATTATCTAGTTTTTACTATTTGCGAAATGGTCGATTAAGCAAATTTTATAACGGAAATATTGATGATTATAATCTTGTTTCAAGCAGGATGTTCGTCCATGTGGGAAGAATGTAGTTAGATGAACGTAAAAAGGCAAATGAAAAATTGTCAGACGTTTTCATGCACGTTATGCAATGCAAAATTCACGACTAAACCATCACTATAGGATCACGTGAAAAGAATTTTTCACTCACATTCATTTTCCCTACGACTTGCTTTTTATCGAAGAAATTCAAAATGATTTTGGACTATCGTTGAAAATGCTTAACAGAAAGATATGAAAGCTAACAAAAGTATGATTAACATTTTTATTTCATTATTTCGCTTATTTTATAACCTTATATCGAAAATTGTGTTTATCTATTATCCAGCTGTTATGCGATAACGGATATATTAATGGATCAGTTTAATGAATTGTTTATCCGACGTTTTTTTAGACTTGGATTTTATAGAAGTAATGGAATGAAAGCAGCGGTATGTTATAAAAATCTATAGCTTTAGGAATGTCCATATGTATTTTTTTTTTAAAATGTTACAGCTTCTTGGCTTTATGAAGTTATGGTATTTTGTGAAGGGGTTGAACTATGGAACTTTACAATAAAAAATGTATTTTATATTTTTATATTAGGTTTAAAAAGTTTTAACTTACAGTCGGTGGTACATGTTTGCTTAACACAAATGTTAAAATAAAGAAAATTACATCATATTATAATAGAACAATTATATGTTTTTAAGCTTCAAAAATATTACACAGATAGTTCTTAATTATTTGCAACTTTACTCTGCATTAATTAAATTTTTAGTCAAAAATTAAGTTAGTACAACATTAGAATTAGCCCAGAATCAATATAAAAATTTAAAATTTTATATTTATTATATCGACCAGTTTTATACAGAAAGTTTGGCAGAATTAAGAAATTGTTTGTCAAAGTACACCCATAGTTTACTTTATAATTGGCTAGAATTAGCAGTAAAATCTCATAACCTAAGTTAGCATTATCGAAAATAAATTTTAGAAATATTTTTTCAAGACGGTTAATTCTTAAATTTCGGTAAAAAAATTTCGAAATTATTGACGCGAATTACGCATTATTAGTAATCACATTGTCTCAAAAACTTCAACAAAATTGTTCAATTTCGTTTACATATTTACTAGAAACGTAAACAGCGTGTAATGAAATGAATGAAAAATAACAAACTGAAACATTGCGAACATATTACATATTTTAGTTTTTATAACTTCCATTTATTGAAGGAAAAAATGATTTATTTATTTATAACAATTATAACATTGTTTTAAACATTGGAATTTACAAAGACTAGTTGCTACTAGTGCTATCTTTTTTATATGACATCGATTTTCTTGCAAGAAAAGGCTGACTTTGGAAATCTCATTTCGAGGATACCATTTTCAAATTTAGCCGTAACCTCTTCAGCTTTTATATTCGGAGATAGCGAAATATTACTAGAGAAGTTGCCATAACGACGTTCTTGGACAAGAGTTTTTCCTTCTTGAAATTTTTGGTCTTTCTTGGGAGATGACAACAGCGTTAATTTGATCCTTACCTAATTCCTATAAAATAATAATGTTTCATTATTTGATTCAAAGAATACGTAAATATAACGAAAAAAAAAATTAATTACATACTGGCAGTTCTACATTGACTATATATTCTTAGTTTCATGAACTTTCAACGCAGGAAAGCGGCGAGAACGAATGTTGCCACGTTTAGCGACGTACAAATCTTTAATAAAATCATCGAAGATGCTGCTAAAAGAATCCAAATCGAAGTTATCCCAATTATTGTTAATTAGAGACAACTTGTTTTAATAACCACAATTTTTATAGAAAAATTTGATTTGTACTTTTTTTGTCCTTGACGAAATTAAGGGAGCTAGGAGAACTCTGAATTCAAGATATATTTATAGTCGCATTTTAATTTTTCTCATAATTCCTGGAGATGAAGATTATAAGTAAAATTTAAATTTAAATATGATGCAATATGAATTCTCACTTAAATTATTAATTTTTATTTGTTATATGCTAGAAATTTCTACATGTTGCGTGGGGAATTCAAAAAAAAAATTTTCTCATTTAAATTACGAACTTTGCCTAAAAAAATATCCTTTGATTTTTTTCATATAAATTGTTGGTAGTTAATAATTTTCACTCGTCAAATCTCTTATTGGACTTACAGTAAAGTGGAAATTATGTTCAATAATTTTCTGTATAAAACTCTTATGTATTATATTGTTAAATAAGACCCTCGTTGTATGTATGGTCAAATATCAGCTATACTGTATAGAATTTTAATATGAAAAGTAGGTACCATACTAGTCATACATACCAATATCTTATATACAATGTAGGTCATACCATACTCATTATCTATATTGTCGAAAACAAACAGAAGACAAAGAAAATATCAATATGCTTTATTAATAAATATAAAATAATTAAGTTAATAAACACTAATAATCCAATAATTTATTATCCAGTAAAGAGAAAAAATATTCTCAAATAACTAGCCATTGCTAAATGAATACATCTATATATAATGTACTTTGATATAAATAAGATTGATATTTATATCATAATTTATATCATAAAGTTTAAATATTATAAATTTAAAAAAATGTTGTTTAATTTATCTTGAGCATCGTCACTTCCTTGTGCAGCAGATTTACTATACCAATAAATTGATTCGTTCAAATCTTTTTCAATTCCAACTCCTTCCTCATAGCACACCCCTAAATTATACATTCCACATAAGTTTCCTAAATCTGCAGACTTTTGATACAATTTGAATGCTTTTTGTTCATTAGTACTAGTTCCAACCCCATTTTTATAACAACATGCTAGATTATTAATTCCACTCGAATTTCCTAAATTTGCTGCCTTTTGATAAAATTCAAATGCTTTTTGTTCACTAATATCAGTTCCAGTTCCATTTTCATAACACATTCCTAAATTAAACATTCCACACGAATTCCCTAAGTTTGCTGCCTTATAATATAATTCAAATGCCTTTTGAATATTAATACCAGTTCCAATCCCATATTTGTAACATTTTGCTAAATTATTTATTCCATATGAATTCCCAAAAGCGGCTGCCTTTTGATATATCTCAAATGCTTTTTGTTCATTAACATCAGTTCCTGCACCATTTTCATAACAAAATCCTAAGTTATTCATTCCACTTGAATTTCCTAGATCTGCTGCTTTTTTATATGATTCGAATGCTTTTTGTTCATTAATATCAGTTCCAGTTCCTTTTTCATAACAAGTTCCTAAGTTATTTAATCCATTTGAATTTCCTAAATTTGCTGCTTTTTGATAAGATTCAAATGTTTTTTGCTCATCAATATCAGTCCCAATTCCATATTTGTAACAAAATCCTAGTAGATTTATTCCACTTGAATATTTTTTTTCCGCTAATCCTAAAGATAATTCAAATGCTTTTTTATAATTTTTATCAATGCCTTCTCCATCTATATACATATTAGCAAGATTATATTGTGCTGCATTATTTCCTAATTTCGCTGCTTTCTGAAATAGTTCAAATGCTTTTTGTTTATTAACTTCACCAATAATTCCTTGAAAATTAAAATATCCAAGTAAATAATAAAAATTTGAATCATCTTGATTATTAATAAGCCATTTATGAATTTCTTGTAATTTCAACCCATTATTATCAATATAATTAAGAATAGTTTGCTTTCTCATTTTTTCTTCTTTTCCTTCATTAACTTTCTTAAAATAAAGATCAACCAATTCATCAACTACAAAACTTAAGTCCTCTTCAAAAATATATTTATTGATATCTTGGGTTTTTGGTTCTATTTCTTTTATATCAATTTTATCAAAATTTTGAATGACTTGCAATAAATTATTATCATTAATATGAATATTTTCCACATTATTAAATTGTTGAGTACTTAATGATTGATCACAGTTAACTGATTTTGTAATAATTTCTTTTAATTTAGTAACTACTTGAATCATATCTGGTCTATCATCTGGTTCAAAGCTCCAACATTCTAGTTAGATAAGATATTAAATTAACAGTTACTATTATAAATCAAAACATCAGATCAAAAAAAGATATATTTACCAATGTAAAGATTAGAATAATCTATAGGAGTGTCTGGAACAATTATTTCTCTGTATCCTTGTAAAATTTGGGTAGCTAAATTAGCGTCATATATTTCTTCTTTAAATGGTTTCTGACCACTTGATATCTCCCATAAAATAACTCCAATACTGTAAACATCACTCTTCTTATTCAATGAATATGGCTTACTACTGACAAATTTTTTTGGATCGACATAAGGAATCATACTAACTAAGTCAGATTGTTGTTTGGATGCCTCAAAAATTCTCTTTGATAACCCAAAGTCAACTAATTTGATAGTATTTTCATAAACTAATATATTCATAGAATTCTATTACAAATTATAGAATAAAACATAAGTATATATTATAATTACAAAATTACAAATAATAAAATAATAAATAAATTACCAGATCACAATGAAAAATTTCTTCGTCATGTAATAATGATATGACACATGTTAATTGATACGCTAACTTATATTTATCTTCCCAAGTTAGCTTCTTAAAGTTTTCTTTCAAATGTTTTTGAAGAGAGTTATTACCAACATATTCTACTACTAATAAATATTTCATTACTTGATTGTTTTGATTTTCTAATTATAAAAGAATTAAAACAATTTAATAATATATACAATACAAATATTACAAATGTCTTTTTTAATTATTATATTTATTATTACCTTTATATGCAAATCCAAAAAATTGAATAATATTATCATGAAAATTTACTTTACGGTGAAGTTCAAACTAAATAAAATTAAATAATTAGTATTACTATAAATTTCGAAACTATATATATTTATAGTATATTTCAATTTACAAATACCTCATTAACGATTTCTTTTATAGTGAATTTATCAAGATTAAATGATTTTAAAGCAAAATATTGTTCCGAATTTTTCAAATTTGCACAATAAATTTCCCCAAAAGTACTATTTCTAATTTTTTCAATATTGTGAAAATTTTTGTATTCATAATATTTTATATACTTTTTAGTAATTGCTTCTTCTATATAGTTAATGCATTCGTTTAAGTCGTTGGAAGCAATTTTATCGGACATTGTGAAAAAAAATGAGGTTTGAACGAAATTTATTTGAGTAACATTAATTATAGTTTGCGGCTAAAATAAGTATGCAAAGTGTAAATCATTTAGTCACAGACGCAGGGATTTGCCGATCATTATGTTATCACGACGTCACAGGATTGGGAGTATTTTACGTTATTTTATTTGAGTTTAAGACTAGAGAAAATTCTCGAAATTACTTTCTTTTCCAGTTTAACTTTAAGGTGTTTTGGTATGATTTCCAATGGTTCTTTTAATAAGATTTTTACATGTATCACTAATGAAAAGCCAACTAAACATTCAGTCATTAGAGTTCTTAAGTTCTTTGTTGCACACCTAAAAATCCAGAAGTGTATTTTGAACATAATCCATTATCACGTATAAATGATTAAGAGTATCTTCTGAGTCATCATCCATTTTACGAAGTTATGACATTAAGTGTGGAATTAGTGTTAGTGTTACCTTACTAAGCAATATGCTTGATTAGAAGTTATTGAATTGATTCCATTAATTTCAACATAGTATGATTCAATTTACCCAATCAAAAATCCATATATAAATCCAATTGAACTATTTGAATAACTTTTTATAATTTTTATTAAGTCTCCCAAAGTGCCTTAAAGATTAATTTAGGAATTCTACGTCTAAAATATGCTTTAACAGTTTAACTGCATCGAAAGGGACAATAGTGCGACTAGCAGCGAGAAAATTTTTGAATAAATAAAAATAGTATTCTAAAAGAATTGCCACAATTATTCTTTTTATCACTTTGGGTAATTTCCCTCAAGAGAGAATTTTCACAGTATAAAGTATCATTAACAAGAACACCTATGATTTTACCTTCATACTTAACATAATAATAATGGAATTTTTCTAAATTATAATTAATGTTAATTAACTCTTTGTGCAATAGTTACATAATCAAATATTATCAGATATCAAGTATAAATGTTGGAGATTATTTTACTTCTCACATGCGTGTTACTAAATGAGATTAATTAAAATTTATATTTATTATCACTTTCTGTAAATATGTTCTCAATAAAAATTCCTTGCCAAACTATACGTCATTAGCAGAAATCTTTTTTGTATTTTACGATATGTTAAATTTAATCAAAATATCATTCAAAACTATTGGAAAAATTTGTAAAATGTGCGACCATTTTTTAGAAATTAACATAAATAAAAAATTTTTATAATAGATAATATAAATAAAAAATTCGTTGACACAATATATATATAATATTAAATAATAATATAAATAAAAATTTTTATAATAGACAATATAAATAAAAATATGTTGACTATAAAATCCTACAATTTTTTTTATGAATAAGTTGCTGAAGTGACAACACTTTTAAAAACTTCGGTTTGTCAATCGTTACAAGTTTGGGTTTGGTTAAGTCTATTTTTAACTGATAAGATTTTTTTTTCAACATATTTATTATTTTACCTGCGTCTTATAAATTAAATTTTAAGGAGAGGAGTTCATAAATAACTGAAAACTAATTTTTAATGCGTTTTCCTATTTTTAAAAATAGAAAAATAAATAAATAATATAAGCAACAAATTTTAATAATATTTTAAATCAAATAAAATATTTATTATTATTTTCACAAGAATTAATATTTAATTCTTCAATATTTCTCTTAATTCCAAGTTGAGTTTAGTCCACTACTAATATAAAATTGTATTTGTTGAAGACTTTCGTTGTTGGATTAAATTATAAATGACAAATATTTTTAATTTTATAATACCTTTCAATATCTATGTCTAATTTTAATTCTTCTGAAATGTAATCTATAAAAAAAAAAAAAATTAATTTATCTATCCAAAGATTATTTTTATTAAATAGCATAATACATACCATTTGATGTAAAATTTATTGATGAACATTTAGAAAATATAGATGAACATTTGGAAATGTAAGAGTTTAATGATCTACTTGTATAAATAGCTTTTGGATGAAGCTTTTCACTGAACTCAGGACCAAACTTCTTTGAATCTATTAACTCTTTCCTTATTAATTCAGCTTGATCAAATTGATTTTTGAATGATTGATCGGATTTACTTTTGGATTGAAGCCATTTATCACTAATATCATCAATTTCATTTATAGAAGGTCGTTTTTTGGGATCAGGATCCCAACAACTTTTCATTAAATCAGCATAGCATTCTGATGTATCTTTTGTAATTTCAGGTCGTACACCATCAATAATTTTATAAATAAGACTATGATCATGTTCAAAATTAGCAAAAGGCTTACAACCTGTTGTAAGTTCCCACATAATCATACCCAGGCTATAAATATCAGATTCTTTGGAAAATGCAGACCCCTTAAATATTTCTGGTGCAATATAAGGTATCACTCCATATATTTCATTATCCGATGAGTTATCATTTGCAGGTCGTGATAATCCTAGATCTCCGACTTTACAATCTTTAGACGAATTTACCAACACATTTCCACTGTGGAAATCTCGATGTATGAAATTTTCTTCATGAATATTATAAAGTCTAAAATAATAATAATTAATAAATTTGTATTATAAATTAATCATTTACCAATATATTTAAAATATAAATACCCATTTATAATAATTTCTAGGAAATTTAATTTATCTTTCCATTTAATTTCTCTAAAGTTCTTTTGCAAATACTTATGTAAATCTCCTTCCGGAGCATAATCCATAACTAATATATAAATATCTAATTGAGGATCTTTTGTAAAACCATAAGTTTTAATCAAATCAATATCATAACAATGATAATTCGACTTTAACTATAAATTTCAAGATTAAATTTAAATTTCCATACAACAAATACGAATTTTTTAATCCAAAGTATTTACCTCATTTAAAAAATATTTGCTAATGTCCTGAGAATTTTTAAATATTTTTAAAATAGCAATTTCACCACTATATTTTGGACCATCTAACCAAGTTGCTTGATACACAATACTAAATCCTCCTTCCGCTAATTCTTTTACATTTGTAAATTGAGAATATGGTATATAATTCATAAATTTATCTGTTACAATATCATGCTTTAAAGAATCACATATAGTTAACGAGCCAAACAATTTATCAATATTTTTTGCTTTATCAGCAAATTTGGTTATTGCTGATTGATATGATCTTGTACTAAGAAGAAAATCATCTAAAACGCTATTCCCACTAAAAATCTTTCTAATATCAATAGTAATAGTTGATATTCTCTTGCACTTTTTACATTGCGATTGATTTGTATATCCAAAAATCATATTTGTTGTTAAACAGTATCTACATCCAATAAAAAATATAATACAATACATACAATACTTTTGACAGTTTGATGTAAATACTAATTCCTCATTACAATAATAACACTGAGACACATCATCCCACCATGGTAAATAAATAATTGAAATAAACTTTTTAGTAAAGGGTGATTCGATACATCTGGAAGATATTAGATAACAACTTGAACACAATATCATCACCTTTGTGTCTGTTTCATTATATAATAATTTTCCACATAGCTTACAATATTTTTCGCTTTCAATTAAATTTTTGTATAAAATGTATGAATCACTATCCACATCCCGGTCAAAATGATAATCAGATATTTGTTTAAAGCATAATATTGTCAAACAATTTTTACAGCATTCTTGGATATTTTGTGGTACTTTTGTGCTACTTATTTCATGTTTATTACATTCCAGTTCCTTTGTGAATAAATGTACGTCCAAGTATATATTATTAGTATCGGTTATATTGGTTAAATAACTCGATAAACATTTTTTGCAATATCTTTGATCGTAAATAGTCATTTCCGTATACTCTTCTCCACAATGAAAACAATTTTTATCTTTCCAATTAAATGAAACAAAAAAAATCGGTACGGGACTAGATTTTAATTTTGGTGTTGGATCAAAAGAATTTTCATCATTTAATTTTACAAGTTCCATTTTATGATATTATAGTATAAGCAAGTATAGAAAACTCGACATATTTATAGTTTTTCAAATTCTTATAATGAATCCCTAAAAAAATATGGAATTTTCTGTTTGTGAATTCGCTATGGTATGTACTACGGAAAATTCGGTTTTATGGAAGTACTTCACTACTTCATCGAAGGGCAGATGCATATTTGTAATGAAGTTGATCTGCAAGACTAACCTTATTTGTTTCACATATCAGCGGATTTGATTATTTGCGTTGCATGAACAATCACTTACTTCAAGAAATTCTATTCTTTATTAAAACATGCTTTCCTGTTCTATTCTCAAGCTTAATTCATTTGTAAGGATTTAGGCACTAATTCTCCTTGTATTTTTTTGAGAGAAAAGAATGAAATCTGTATACTTTTATTATTCAGTTAATATCACATTCATTGTTTTCTAGAAGTAACATTGCTGTCACCTGACTATGCTTTTTAATTTTCCCAGAATGGCTAGTTAATGTAACTAAGTGTAACTCTGTGACTATAATAGACTTTTTATTCAGGATTATTCACATCCATGCGTCAATTAAAATGCATTATATTGTAAAATTTAAAGAAATCCACTGCAAAAATAAAAATTATTTTTATACAAAATGTCAGAATTTTTTTGAGATCAGAGTATCGTAGCAGTCCCATTTCGGATATTTAGTAGAACAATAGGGGAACTCCACGAGAACTATAATATTTATATGAATATTAAATTTTAAAAACTCTTACAAGGAAACGATTATAACAATTTTAACATACGCCAATTAATAATTAGTTATTTGAACGTTTAAAATTATGGTCATATCAATCAATGAAGAATATCTAAGTAAAATATAATTGCACAATTATATTGACTTAACAAGGCACGGTTAGAAGATATTATTATATTGGGTACGGCCTTATTAAAGAATTATTTTGTAATATCTTAACATTAATAATATGCTAATTACGAAGCTCTTAAAAATAATTACATCAAGGAAAGTTTTAGAGTACTTTAAAAACACTGAGTTAAACTGACAAAATATCATCAAAATACAAAATATAGAAAAAGAATAAACTACTAAAAATACGGAATAATAATAAGAATAAACTACTATGTACCAAAATATAAGAAAAACTATCTACGGTAGTTTCTAAATACCAATCTTTGAAAATTAAATTACCCGCCCGCCCAATACACTCCTATTTTGGCGAGTATATATACAAAATAGAGGTTTTTATTGATGGTTTACTATTAATTATTTTTGTCATACTTAGTTAATTAATATTTAATGCATGTACATGCATAAATCCAAAACATACAATACATACTGTAACTATACTTATTGATCTGCAATCAATCAATTAATTAATTAGTTTAGTACTACTGTACACCCTGTACACAAATAAGTTGTATAAATTATTTACATTTGCATAATATATACAAAATTTTTTTTTTCACTTCTTATTATATTAATCATTTGAATTTTTTTTTATTTTCTGAACTTGGGAAACATTTACATTTTATCGCTTCTTTAACTTTTTTCGCAAAGGCAAATATATCATCTATATTGGACCCGGGACCTTCATAGCCATTTTTATCCATTCATTCAGTCCTATTAAATTATCTGAAATGCAAGCTGCTGACAATTTAAATGAATCAATTGAAAAAGCTATCTCTATAAAATATTATGAATACAAGAATTTTTACAATGTTGAAAAAATTGGTAATAGTGATTCCGGAGAAATTTATCGTACAAACTTGAAGAATTCAGAACAATATTTTACGTTAAAATCATTTGATTTTAACGATATAACCATGAAAGAAATTATTCATGAGGTATAAATATAATGATAATTCTGTAACTTGTTTAATATTAAAGATTACTTATAGTATAATTTATTGCTATATTAAAATTTTAGCTTGAACTTCATCACAAAATCGTTCATAGGAATATTAGACAACTTTTTGGGATCACGGAAAAAGGTATAAAATACTAAAGAAGATATACACATTAGCATTAAAATATCAACAATTAATTATTATATTTTTTCATAATTAGTAAATGAAGATAGCCAAATAAAGAAGTATTTATTAGTAATGGAATATGCTGGCGACAATACTCTCCAGAACTATTTGAAAGAAGGATATAAAAACCTAACTTGGGAAAATAAATATAAATTAGCATACCAATTAGTTTGTACTATATCATGGTTACATGACAAAGGAATTGTACATGGTGGTCTGGTAATTCGTCTATTTTATTAACTTTATTTATACTAGTAAATTTATGATTTGCTTATATTTTATTTTTTTCTTTTATAATAGAATTCTAGTAATATATTAGTTTATAAAAATATCATAAAGTTAACCGACTTTGGATTATCAAAGAGAATTAAAGAGGCATCCAATCAAAAATCCGACATTATACCTTATATTGACCCAAAAAAGTTTGCTATTAGTAATAAAACGTATTTACTAAATAAGAAGAGTGATGTTTACAGTATTGGAGTTCTTTTGTGGGAGATATCAAGTGGTCAGCCACCATTTAAAGATGAAATATATGATGCTAATTTAGCTACTCAAATTTTACAAGGATATAGAGAAAAAATTGTTCCAAATACTCTTATCAATTATTCTAATCTTTATATTGGTAAATTTAATTTCTTTTTACAATTTTATATTTTGATTTATAATAATTGTTAATATCTTGTTTAACTTAGAATGTTGGAACTGTGAACCAGATGATAGACCAGATATGATTCAAGTATTTGCTAAATTAAAAGAAATTATTACAAAATCAGTTAACTTTAAGCAATTGTTAAGTATACAACAATTTAATAATATAAAAAATATTAATATTGTTCATAATAACATAATGCAAATCATTCAAAATTTTGATAAAATTAGTATAAAAGAAATAGAACCTAAAACTCAAAATATCAATAAATATATTTTTGAAGAGGACTTAAGTTTTGTTGTTGATGAATTGGTTGATCTTTATTTTGAGGAGGTTAATAAAGGAAAAGAAGAAAAAATGAGAAAGCAAGCTATTCTTAATTATATTGATAATAATGGGTTGAAATTACAAGAAATTCATAAATGGCTTATTAATAATCAAGATGATTCAAATTTTTATTATTTACTTGGATATTTTAATTTTCAAGGAATTGTTGATGAAACCAATAAACAAAAAGCACTTGAATTATTTCAGAAAGCAGCGAAACTAGGAAATAATGCAGCACAATATAATCTTGCTAATATGTATATAGATGGAGAAGGTGTTGATAAAGATTATAAAAAGGCATTTGAATTGTCTTTAGGTTTAGCAGAAAAAGAATATTTAAGTGGAATAAATCTACTAGGATATTGTTACAAATATGGAATTGGGACTGATATTAATGAACAAAAAACATTTGAATCTTATCAAAAAGCAGCAAATTTAGGAAATTCAAATGGATTAAATAACTTAGGAACTTGTTATGAAAAAGGAACTGGAACTGATATTAATGAACAAAAAGCATTTGAATTATACCAAAAGGCAGCAGATCTAGGAAATGCAAATGGAATGAATAGTTTAGGAATCTGTTATGAAAATGGAGTTGGAACTGCTGACATTGATATTCAAAAAGCATTTGAATTATACCAAAAGGCAGCAGATCTAGGAAATGATCATGCTCAATTTAATCTCGCTTTGATGTATGAATTTGGGAATGGAATTGAGAAAGACATAACCAAAGCAACTTACTGGTATATTAAATCTGCTGAACAAGGACATAATGATGCTCAAGATAAATTAGAAAAGATTTTAAATAATTTATAATATTAATTATTTATTTAAAATTTGGGATATATTTAATATAAAGATATAATGATTTGCCAGAAATTTTTGCCTTACCGTGTTACCCAAATAAAAATATTTTACTTCATTTAGTTAAAGATATTTCGAGTTTTGATGACCAAAAGCTCTATGAAACATGATTACTAGTACCAGCAGATTGAATGTGATAAATGTTTTGTCATAAATTTATGACATATTGTCTTATTATTATTGATCAATCAAATTAAGTTTTCTGTAAAGAATTACCACAACCCTATCATATCATTTTCCTTCATTCCAGTTCTGATTATTTAAAATTATCTTTATAAACTGAAATATGAAGTTCTTCATAATAAATTATAGTTGAACAGTTAATTTTGGAATAAAAATCTTTTTATTTAAACGTTCAAATAAGTTTGATAATAAGAATGAATAGTTTAAAAGAAAGGTTTTGTAAAAATGCGTACGGTTTTTTTATACTTACTAACAAGCTTAAATTTATTTTAACTTCAATACTTCAGTTATCAGACGACTAAATTAAACTCTATAGGTACAGTATTGTCTTCCATAGTATGAAATCGTTGTATTATTACTATAAAATGTAAAATATCTTCTATTTATGATCTTTAACAAGTAATGATTCAACTGACTGTAATTATTTGAACTGGACAAAAGGGTATTGTTTGCGTAATTTGGAAAACAGGTACAAAATATAACGGTATCAAAAATCATACGATATCGTGTCATCATGAGAATCATGTACTGCAACTACTGCTATTTGTTTAACAGGACCCGAAATATGTATACCCATTGATCCGTAATTAATTAGTACTTCATGAATCAATGAATCACAAAAAATTTTCAATACTTATATCAATCATCTGATAAAATTAATAACAAGTAAGTGCTAATAATTTAAATGAATTAATTAAAGAAGCTATTTCTAGAATTAGGCAAGGCAAAAAATATTTTTAGATTCTCGTGACATAAAATTTTAAAAATGACCCGGCCGGCCGGCATTTTTTTTTATATTTGTAAAATTTTTTTACGCCACATTGGCCAATAACTTATAATCACATGATAAAATTTTTTACTATAAAAAAAAAATTTCCATTTTTCGAAAAACTGACCTGGCCGGGTCACGAGAATCTAATTTTTTTTTTTGCTCGGCCTTATACGAATATCAAGATTTTCACAACATCGAAAAAATTGGTAGTAGTGATTCTGGAAAATTTTAACGTACAAACTTGAAATATATTTTACATATAAAATCATTTGACTTTAGCGATATAACCATAAATGAAAGTATTCATGCCCTGTAAAAAAAAAATGTCCGGAAATTGTAGCTAAAAACATCCGGAAAATGTCCGTGTGTCCGGAAAACGTCCAGAAAATTGCAATATTCCGGACACTTTCTGGACGCTGGGTCTGAACCCTCCTAGACATTTTCTGGACATTTTCCGGAAAATGGAAATTTTCCAACGTCCGGAATATTGCAATATTCCGGACATATTCCAGACAAATAAACATTTTCCGGACGTTTTCAGCTACAATTTCCGGACATTCTTTTTTTATAGGGATGAGATATAAAATATAATAATGATTCTATAATCTATATGGCTCATTTATTATTATTAAAATTATTTATAGTATAATGTATAAATGTTCTTATATTTATCGCCGTTTTCAAAATGGTGTACGCAGTTAAATTTGAATAAAAAAAAAAAGAAACCCGAAAACCGGACGAAACCGGACAAAATATGGACAAAATATGGACAAAAGCTGGATAAAAACCGGGCGAATATTTGTATTTGAATATGCAAATCACAAATAAACTGCGTACATCATTTTGAAAACGGCGATAAAATTTAATTTGAACTTTACTATAAAATAATACATAGACATATTATTTTGCTTAAATTGTATTAATAATGTTAGTTATTTTAAAAATCAAAAAATGAAACTGATCAATTGAAGGAACATTTGATTAGTAATGGAGTAGTAATGGAGCATGCTGATGATAACACTTTTCAAAATTATTTTGAAAGAAATTTATAAAAATAAGACTTGGGAAAATAAATATAAATTAACATATCAGTAACTATTCGATCAATTTGAGCAAGAATTTTTTAATAATTTATGATATAATAATTTTGGGATTGAAAATTAAATTATAAATTATGCTTATTAATTAAATTATTTTATTGTCATATTCTCTCCTATTGAACAAGAAATAAATTACTGTGAAAAATTTTATAAGCTTATCACGGTCTTATCATATTATTTCCCTTCGTTTTGAAACATTTAATAACCCTAATAAGTTTTTATAAAACACGTTTTATATGTCACAAATATGAATGAATCGTTCATCATCATATTTAATAAACTTGGAAAATTTACTATTCTTATCAGGTGGTTAAATTAAACAATTGCGTAATAGTTAATACATATTGTACGACAAAAACATGCATATTGGTTTAACCAATAACCATACCAATTGATCTAATTGATCTGCAATTAATTAGTACTACTGTACGCAAATAAATAAATCATTTACGTTATTTTTATGCCTAAACAAAAATTTTTTTTTACTTCTTGCAAATTCAAATAAAATGCAAGCTGCTAACGATTTAAGTGAATTGATTAAGGAAGCTATTTCTAGTAATTGTATAAAATTTTACGAATATAAAAATTTTTACAATGTTGAAAAAATTGGCAAAAGCAATTCTAGAAAAATTTATCGTACAAACTTGAAGAATTCAGAACAATATTTTACGTTAAAGTCATTTGACTTCGACGATATAACCATAAAAGAAATAATTCATGAGGTGAAATTACATAATTATTATAATAACAATATCTCGGTTTTTTTTTATATTTAAATATATTAATATCACTTACAGATTCATATAAAATATTTATAATTTAGTTTAAACTTCACCATAAAATCGTTCATAGAAATATTATTCAATTTTTTGGAATTACAGATAAAGGTATAAATTATTAAAAAAGATAGTGGTAAAAAAATGTATTAATAAAATTAAAATTTCTCTTTAAAAATTAGAAAATGAAAACGACCAATTAGAAAAATATTTATTAGTAACGGAGTATGTTGGTGATATCACCCTTCAAAACTATTTGAAAGAAAATTATGAAAACCTTACTTGGGAAAATAAATACAAATTGGCCTATCAATTAGTTTGTACTATATCATATTTACATGATAAAGAAATTGTACATTGTGTTTTGGTAATACATTTATTTTATTGACTTTATTATTTTATTTGCAATTTATTTTTATTATTCGCTTATAATTTATTTCATATTTTATAATAGAATTCTAGTAATATATTAGTTTATAAAAATAATATCAAATTAATTGACTTTGGATTATCAAAGAGAATTAAGGAGGCATCCAATCAACATTCTGATTTGGTTGGTATGATTCCTTATATCGATCCAAAAAAATTTGTTAGTATTAAACCATACTCATCAAATAAGAAGAGTGACGTTTACAGTATTGGAGTTCTTTTGTGGGAGTTATCAAGTGGTCAATCACCATTTAAAGATGAAATGTATGATGCTAATTTAGCTACACAAATTTCGCAAGGATATAGAGAAAAAATTGTTCCAAATACTCCTATCAATTATTCTAATCTTTATACTGGTAAATATTAAATATATTTAACAATTTAATATTTTGAATTATTAATAATGATTGTTAATTTAATGTCTTATTTAATTAGAATGTTGGAACTGTGAACCAGATGATAGACCAAATATGGATCAAGTTATCGCTAAATTAAAAGCAATTATTACAAAATCAAATGTAATAATGGAGGATTATTATCAAACAGATATTAATTATGAATTAAATCCTCAATTATCAATTAATAATCAAAATTATAATTTGGATTTACCACATGAAAATTTATCTCAAAACATTCAAAATTTCGATAAAATAAATACAAAAGAAATGGGACCTATTATTCAAAATATTAGTAAAAGTATTTTTGAAGAAGATTTAAGTATTATAGTCGATGAATTGGTTGATTTATATTTTAAAAAAGCGAATGAAGGAAAAGAAGAAATGATAAGAAGGCAAGCTATTTTTAATTGTATTGATAATTATAAGTTGAATTCACAAGAAATCTATAATTGGCTTATTAATAATCAAAAAAAGTCAAATTATATTTATTTACTTGGATATTTTAATTATCAAGGAATTGAAGTAGAATCTAATAAACTAAAAGCATTTGAGTTATATAAGAAAGCATCAGATTTAAATAATAGTGCAGCTCAATATGACCTTATTAATATGTACATGGATGGTGATGGTATTAATAAAGATCATAGAAAGGCATATAAATTATCCTTAAAATTAGCAAAAAAAAATTATTCAAGTGGAATAAATTTACTAGGATATTGTTTTTATAATGGAATTGGAACTAGTGTTAATGGATATCAAGCATTTACCTTATATAAAAAAGTTGCTGATTTAGAAAATTCAAATGGAATGAATAATTTAGGACTTTGTTATGACAATGGAATTGGAATTGAAGCTAATGAACAAAAAGCATTTGAATTATATCAAATGGCGGCAAATTTAGAAAATTCACATGGATTAAATAATTTAGCTTGTTGTTACAAAAATGGATTGGGAACTGTTATTAATTATCAAAAAGCATTTGAATTATATCAAAAGGCAGCAGATTTAGGAAATACTTATGGAATGTATAATTTAGGAAAGTGTTATGAAAAAGGAATTTTAGTTAAGAAAAATATAAATAAATCAATTTACTGGTATGAAAAATCTGCTATGCAAGGTCATGGTAATGCTCAATGTAAATTAGAAAAACTTTTAAAAAATATGGATTAAAATATTTAAGATTTTGGGATTATATAATGAATCTTTGTGTAGTCTTGAATATTAAATTTATTAAAATATTCCTAGTATAATAAAAATATTACAATATTATAAATATTACAATATATTGTATTTTACATATAATTTGTAAATTAACTTTATGGAAAACTCTTTTCTTTAATCTTTCTAGTTCTATATTAATTTCAAGTGAACGTAAATTATTATAGTAACGTTTTTCTATGAATATACGCATCACTGTCATTATAAGAATATAATTATTAACATAATTTCATCCTTCTTAAATTTTAATACAATATCTGTTTAATGGTAAGATTACAATCTTTAGTTCTTTCTGATTTTTATGAACATTAAATCATACTTTTTTTACTAATTTGAAATATATATACAATATACATATTTGTTCTATCATCCAAAATGATCAAAGTTTGTGAAAATTTTAAATTTTAATTTTTAAAAAATAAATGACTCTGTTTTGTACAAATTCCTGTTTGCAAAATCTAATAATGAAAAAAATGAGGACCATATTAATTTAATAAAATTCGGGGTTAATTACGATAATAATAAAAAGCTGTTTTTGCATCTCGCGCGTACTAAGTTCCCCACCCATAATATAATGCCAAAACGACGTCTTATATCACCAGGTCGGTGTAATTGTTGAAAAATACCATTATGAGCCATATCCTCGCTATTGATGGCAGCCTTTACCAATTCTAAAGAAATACTGTACATCTTACTTTCCTATTCAAGTAAAACAAACAATTAAGCAACGCTCAATAGTTGCTTGCAATAAAGACAATAATATATTTTTGCCAGGCTATGTATGTCTATGTAATGATATTATAAGATTAGCAAACTATCCGACTAACGCTATATCTGAAGTTTACTCAAAATTTTTTGCAACAAAAACTCGCTATTCTGGCTTATTAATGATGGGACGAAATGATGAAAATATAATAAATACTGTAAATGAAGTTGTTTCTTTTATTCCTCGTTTTTTTTTTTACTTGAAAAAATAAAAATATTTGTATATGGAGTGGGGTATTCAACAAATATGGATTGGTATTAGGCTGGATCGGAATATAACTCTTCACTTCTTTATAATTTGATAGTAATAAAATAGTTTCTATAGCTTTTAAAAAAATACGCTAACAACTAATGGACGCTCAAGTCAACAAACCAAAACAAGTTCATAGTAACGCTTAGGCGTTGATTATACCGTTACAATTAGGAAATATAAACATTCTCTATCAATATAAGAGGTGAAATGGCTATTCTTGGATCACACTATCAACAAATACAAAGGAGTCTATTATAAGGAATATAAAAACTTTAAGTTTGACATAATACATTCATACAAACAAATAGAACGTTAGAATCGTATTACTCGGCTTCATTAGAGGAAAGAACATAAAGGTCATTAGCACCTTTCTCGTATACACCAGCAACTACGAATAAAAATGCTTTTTGCTAAAACAAATTCAAGACTTTCTTACAACCACCATTATCTCGAGAGGCGAAATGACAAAAATGTAGAGAAAATTTTCGTCGGAAATTAAAAAAAGCAAAAAAGCCAGTTATGACGGCTATCAGCTTAATCTTAAATCAAGGAAGCAGAAGTGTTCGAACTCGCCAAGATCGTCGTAAGAAAAAAGATAAAGAAAGACTTTCTCAACTTACTCCTATTGCCCTTAAGGCCCTATTCGAATTATCGAAAAGCTCACTGACCTAAGAATACTAATGTTAGTTTGACATTTCAGCATCAGATCAAGAAATTCTCAGTCAACCTAATGTCTATTTAAGATGTCGACCAAATTATTCTTCTCCAAACGCTTCTGATGAAGAGGTTTCTTTCTCCACTTTACACTGGCACAACATAATTAGGAGTATTATCAAAAAAATTGCCCTCTTCTAAATAAACCATTCCGTACTTGTCAGTATTTACATATGGTACCTTTGATGAAAGAAAAATACGGATAAATTAAAGTTTTTTGTTTTACTATGAATTTCTTTTTTCATTGGTTAACCCCTTTGTGTTAGGTATCTTAGCGGCGTAGTCTCTCCAACGATAGCTGGTTTGATTCTTTTTTTTCTTTTTTTCTTTTTTACACAAAGAAAGAGTGAGCCTCTTATGAGCACTGAATTTATTTATACCTCTAGTTAGAATTCTTCACAAAATTAGTAAGGTTTCATCCTTTTTGAATAAAATAAAAAAAAAATAAAATTTATTAATTAGATCAAAAAAAAATAAATAAATAAATATTTTGATGAAAATCCTAATTTTTAGTAGTTTTGGTCAAAATTAAACTTCAAACCATCCAGAACAGGATCGTGTGTTATTTACCGTTAAGTAAATAATGTTCAGGCAAATGTGGTACTAAGGTACTAATTTGTCAAGTGCATTCATTCCTTTTATCATACTTTTACAACATAAAATTTAGTTTTTATCATATCTATCATATAATCAATACAAAAATGAACAAAATATAAAATTTTGATGGAATATAAGAATACAACTTTGGAAATTATATATGTTGATAGTAGTAATACAAATATTTGAATACATACACATCTACAATAAAATGATTGTTCATATTAATTATTAATTTAGTTAGTTTTTCATCAGCTTCTAATTAGATCATAAGCTAAAAAAAGTATAAATTTATGTAATTTTTTTTTAATAAAAATAGTCCTCTGATTTATTTTTTATTTTTTTTATAAATCAATCAAATACATTAAATACTGTATATTAAATATTTAAATTACTATGTACTGTTTGTTTGTCAACTTCATAGCCTTAGCGATAGTTTCAGGAGAAGCTTATGAATCGTCATTTAACTTATATTGTTTAAACTTATTAACTTTTTTTTAATACTGTAAATCGTGTTTTTTTAATTTGCCAAAAAAAATGGTTTTTATTTTGGAAATTTACGATCTAAATAATTTCATTTTTTTCAACTAGATAATAAATCACGTCATTGATAGGTTTTTAGTAAATAAATTTTAACAAATTTATTGATAATTTTTTATAAACACAATACAAAAATTTTTCTTAATAAGTAAATACGAAATTTTTAATAAGTAGAGGTTTCTTAATAATATTATATAATACTAAGATTTCTTTTTAATAAACGATTTTTTTCTTAAAGATTACCATAATTAGAAATTCTGATTGAAATCTGAATCGGACTTTTGTGAAGGATTCCAATCTAGAAGACCGTTAAATAAGGAAATTTATATTAAATCCAAATCATAAATAATTCTTTCAATCTCTGATTGCAAAATACAAATACAATTAAAATAAATAATTACCGTAAAGTCCCGAATATAAGCAACCTTTTTTTGTTATAGGGGTGCTTATATTTGGGTAAATTTATATATTTGGTATATTGTAGTATTGGCCAAAATTATCATAGTGTTGGTCAAGGGTGCTTACTTTCGGGTAATATAAAAATCTGGGGGTGCTTATATTCGGGGGTGCTTATAATCGGGACTTTACGGTACATAATAAGCATAAATACGATATCTTTTATACTTTAATTGAGATTAATTACTTTCTTCTATAATAAAAGATAGTTTTAATTAAAATTTAATAAATCAAAAAAAAAATCACATACAAAAGTAATTACCTTTAGAATTAATATCAAGTTTAGTAAAATCCATTTTTAAGGAATCTATAAATGTTAGTTGTTAGCATTGTAAAATAAATTTAAATTATTACAGAAAACTATATATATTTACCTGAATATTCTATTAAATCATTATTATTATCGGCATTTTTTGGTTCTGGAAGATTTTTAAAATCTAAAAGTCTACTTGTGTAAACTGCTTGAGGATGTGTCATATATGATATAGTACCGGTAGATATTAGAGGTGATGAAATAGATAACTTTTTATTAATATCATCTGCTTCTTTAACTTGCCCATAAATTACAGAATCCATTTTATTGCAAATATCATCCCATAAATTCAAAAATAAATTATTTAATTCAGATGCATTAGGTCGTTTTAAAGGGTCTGCATCCCAACATTGATTAATAATGTCAAAAATTAATTGAGGAATTTTATAATTAGACTTTGGCCTCAACCCTTTACAAATTTTCATTGCTAATAATTCATCATGAGTTATATCATAATAAGGAGGGAAACCTGTACAAATTTCATATGCAATGATTCCAAATCCATAAATATCGCTTTTTTGAGTATATTCTTTTCCTCTTAAAACTTCCGGAGCTACATAAGGTAATACTCCATATATTTTTTTATTATTATTTTGAGAGGATTTGACATTTGCCGGTTGACTTAATCCCAAATCAGTAATAAAAGCCATGTCGCTAAAATCGCTTAATATATTTCCACAATGAAAATCATGACGAATTAATCCTTTTTTATGAATATCATTAAGACCATTTACAATATGAAGTAAATTCCACAACTTTTTTTCCCAATCCAGTGAAATGAAGTTGTTATTTAAATGTTGTCTTAAGCTACCATTTTTTAATTCCATTACCATCATAAAATTATTTGTTTTTGGATCTTTGGTAATACCAAAACAACGAACTATCCAACCAGAATCATATACTAAAATGTTTGATTCAACCTTAAAAGAAAATTATAGTTAGTTTAACATTTATAAAGGCTAATTTAAATTTAATGAAAATAACTTACTTCTTTTAAGAATTCTGTCGTAATACCTTGTGAGTTATGTAAACACTTTAAAGCAACTTTTGTTTCACCTTCCCTTTCCAATTGAGAATTATTTATTGTCCAAGGACCATCTTTCCAAACTGCTTTAAAAGTAGTTCCAAATCCCCCTTTTGCTAAATATTCAACATCTTCAAATTTATCATATTCAATCCATTCTATAACACTTTTGAGTTTTTCAGCTTTTAATTGTGCTTTTTGAATAAATTCATCAACGACATGATTTCCACTTGTCCAATTTTTGAAATTTTGTTTAAAATATTGTGAATCACATAACCGACAATAATTATAACTAGTTTTAGGCTGCTTACAATTTTTACATAACCCATTATTTTTATATCGTTCATTTAATTCTTTGTCTATTATTAGTTCATCAATTAACGATTTTTGTTCTTCAGTCAAATGATCATGATCGAACTCTTTTATTTGCTCAAATACATCATCACTTAGTTTAATTTCATCCATTTTAATAAATAATTTATTAACAGTTAAACAAAAAATATGTTATTAATTTGTATGTAAAATTACAAAAAGTAAATTGAAAAAAGAATAAAAAAAAATGGTGAAACGTTATTTTATGTTGAATGCTTTCAAGATCGGCAACAAAATTATAAAAAAGGACTAGTTCTAATTAGATGTGATAAATAATGTGCAACATGAAACATATGATGCGTCTGCACCTGATCTATTACATTTGATTGGCTATCATGTCATACCCGACCGTCCCGTCGTCCTGCTAAGGAATTTTTGATTGGATAATTTTTAGTCTAGATATCTTATTTTCTTTTTCCAAGACTTTTTTTTATTTTTATTCCTTTCAGCCTTTCCCTTAATGGTTAAACCAACTAAATCTATTTAATAATTTTTTTATTTTTTTCCAATTAAACCGAAATTTTTTTTGGTTTTTCTTTAACGGTTAAACTGAGATAATGGTTAAACCATAATTCAATTTTTTTTTCTTTCCATTTTTCCGATTTTATAAATCAAATTTTTTTTTAATTTTTTATTAAATTTTTTTGGTCTTTTTAAAAACCGGATTTTTAAACTTTTGTTAAACTTTTATTTTTCTTTTTCCGATCTATTGAAAATCGGATTTTTTTAATTTTTTATTAAATTTTTTTATTTATCCATTTTTTCTAATCTTTTATTACAGTAAATTTATTTATTTTTTTTTAATTATTTAAAATTTTTTTTTTTTATTCTCTGGTTTTTCAAAATCGAAATTTTTATTTTTTAATATATCTAATATTTCTTTCTTTTTTTTGGGCTGGAATTTTTATTTTTTTTGTTCATTCCAGTTTTTGTTAAGCCCATGGTTTTTTTTATTCTTTCAACTTTTAGGTTGGATCAGTGATCAGATTGACGCTGCAACACCTTTTTTCCTCATTTTTTTTTAATTTTTATTTTTATTTTACTAATATTTTCTAATGGTTTTTTTTGATCTTTTGCCTTTCAGGCAAGTATTGTAATGTAATCAAAATAAATATTTTTTTTTTAAATATATTTTATATGATTTTTATTTAGGTAATATGATTATTAAAAAGTAATTTGAACACTATACCGGGGAATACCAGTATCTAATTTTATCATATCATATGATTTCATGTGGAACTATAATAAGCTCAATTTATCTATAAACATTTTTGTTGAACTTCGGTTCAAAAAAAGAATTATACGAACACCTTCATAGTATGAGGTTTCCACTAGTTATCTCCGGGACTTAGTTTACAGTTTTATATTTGTATTACTTTCGATTCTATTATAAAACATTTTTTCATTTTTCACGAATTTTACTCTCATTTCTCATGATTTTTTTCATTTTTACATTTCTTTCTCATTTCCCATGAATTTTCTTTTAATTTTTTTTATTTCTTACAACTTTCTTTTCATTATTTACAAATTTTCACGAACTCTCCTCGTGAATTCCCTTTAACCAAATACCATGGATAATAATTGACATATTGGTGAAGAATTAGGAATGTAGGATTGGATTAAGGTGCAGAATTAGGGTAGAGATTGGAATCGATTCTATCAAAATCGAATTAATCGAAACTAATCGATTTAAATCGATTATCGAATAAAAAATCGCGACCAGACTTACGACATTGTAAATCATGAGAGTTCGGATAATCAGCACTTTTTTAACTATTATTTTTTTCGACCAAAGAGATGATTTTCCATTTTCTGTCTTTTAAAGTTATTTTTACTATTTCCGTTGGGCATTAATTAATTTTCCGTTATCACACTCAACTCGAAAAACATTGTTCTTTAACCGCTGTTTTACTGTACTATAAATCCTTAATTTTGGCCGGTTCTGTAAATCGGCCTATATGTGTAGTTGTGTACGATTCAAATTTCAAAGTTGTACAAGACTTAAAGTTGTACGAAAATATTTTAGATTTTGGCTATCAAAATACAGGTATTAAGTAAAGTAGTACTGTACGTAATACAAATTCAGACGGACTTTAATCCTTTTTGTTCGTACGTACGTTTCTAATAGATAGATTTTTTTATACTAGTACGTACGAATGCTTTAAAAATTTTCGTACGACTTTGAATTTTCGTACAATTTTGAATTTTCGTACATGTTTTGTTTTTTTAATAAAATACTTTATGTTAAAATATAAATATATCAATTATACTCTTTGAAATAAGCTTATATATTTCTATTTCTTTAATAATATTCAGCTCTATAATAATAAAATTGACTCATAAAGTCATAATAATTATATAAACCTGTTCAAATTCAGAATTTATCAATTCAATTGGAAAGTCTTCAACATCAGAATATTTACAATTATTTTTCTTCTTCAAAGCAGTAAAGATTAAAAAGAAATATTTATGACAAATATAATAAACAAAACGTTAAAATCATTACATTACAAATATATAAAAATTATGTTACTCAAACATTATGTAATTGTAACATTTTCATTATCGAAAGTTCTATCACATGATGCTACGATGTAAAATTATTAGTACGGAAAATAAAAATTTATTTTTAATAGTCCGTCTGAGTACGGAAAAATTAAAAAAAAAATTTCGAACGTCTGTCCAAATTTGTAGTACCGTACAGTACTATTTTAATATATATTCTCAAAATACAAGGGCGTACATCTGAACTTGCATCAACGTACAGTTGTACAGTTTATTTATTATCTCATTACCTTGATCTGCATCAGGGTAACAGCTGTGTTAGCTGTGTAAAGTAAAGTAGTACAGTATGTTAGTCTAAATTCGTACGTACGCGCTTAAAATCAATCAGTACATACGGTTACAAATGCTAAAAAATTTCGTACTAGTACAAATATTCTGAAACTTTTCGTACATTATTTTTTTTCATACATTATTTTTTTCTGTACATTATTTTTAATATCATTTTTCATGGGTTATTTTTCATATTTACTTTACAATTATAAATTACAAAGAATATAAAAATTATAAAACTGCTAAAAATTATAAGGCTAAAGCTGCTGTTTCATTTCTAAGCTTTACTACATTCTAATAATGCCTAAGAATATAATAATTATAAAGCTAAACCCATGTTTATTTTAGCTACCGATTTTGTAATTCAATAGCTTCTGCTTCCGCCACTTCTTTTCAAGCTTTGCTTGACGTGACGACGTGACGTTCTAATAATGTCAATTTTCTTTCTTTAAGTTCAAATTTAACATAACTTCATTTTCTTTATTAATTGAGCTTGTAGATGACCTTCCCAAATTTTCAACCCTAATTCCATTATTTATATTTTCTAAATTAGTAGTATTAGATACTGTTTCTGCTAAAATGTTGTTTGTTATTTGGGAATTTGTATCATACCGTAATCTTTTTCATTAGAATTTATAGAAGTTGTTTTTTTTTTACATGAATTTTTGGTCTCATCTTTTTTGTTATATTTTGCAGCTAAATTAATAAATGTATCAGTATATTTAAACATACATATTAATTTTGTAATATTAATAATTAATATTTACCTTTACGATTTGATGCAATTTGCTGCCTTTTGACTTCGCTTTTATCACATCTGGTATATGGTATGCCTGAATTGTCTTGGGTACTTTTAATTTTTAATAACTTTTCATCATGCCTTTTACCACTAAAAAAAAAATTAACAATCATAAAAATAATATAAACAAATAATTAATAACAATACATAGAAGTAAATAGCTGATAACAATTTTAACTGTTTTCCTTCTCTATTAATTAAAGCATGGGCTGCTTCCGCCGCATTAGTATTATTTCCATATTTTCTCCAAATTTGACGCTCCATTTTTGACATATTTATATTTAAAGATGAAATTATTCATGGATTCTTATAATATTTTGCCTAATCTAAATAATAAAAAATGTTTTAATAATTATTTTTGATATTATTTCAAATTTAATAGTGATTTACCTCTTGCACCAGATTCATCCAAAGATTCAATTGCATTTAAAAAAGATTCAATAGATTCTTGTGAAGGAGCATTAAGAATGGATTTTGCTAAATTATATGTTTCTTGTGAAAAATGTTTGTTGAATAGGTTTCTATATTATAAAATAAATAAATATTTAAATTGTTTTTAATAAAATGTTATAAAAATAAATTACTAACCGCTGAAAATGAACAACACAAGATTTGAAAATATGCATTAAATGTGTCCCCCAATCTTTTGAAGAATCTAGTTCATATAAAGCAAGACCTAAACCTTTCGATTGTCCATCACCTAAGATGAATTCCCAACCTTTACCATGAATATGATAAATATATAGAGACTTATGGTAAGTTCTTGAATAATGAGCTGAATAACTTTTTGTGATCATCAGCTGATGACACATTTGTATATATTCTACAAAAACTTAAAACTAAATAAAAAAAAAGATATTAATATAATATAAATTAATTCATTATAATTATAACAATAATATTTACCCAATTTGTATTTTTCATCATATGTATTAATTTCAAATTCATTTATATCACCCTTTACACGCTTAAAAGACAGTTCAATTTGCAAATTTTTAGATTTATTAATAATTCTGCCTGTTCTTTCAGGATACAGACAATCAAAATAAGTCCAGTATTATTAATCCATTCTAAATTAACAAAATATTAATTAATTATTTCAATTTAAATAAAATTTATAATAAGATCATACTTGCCTATTCGACGGACATAATTTTTTATTTCTGGGTTATTACTTTTAGCAGCATGAATATTTTATTACGTTTTTTCATGCATGATTTGAATCTGTCCAATCTGCAATATGAAATATAGTGGCTACACCTTCTGGTAAAGTTGATGGATACTCTACAGGTACATGTTGTAAAACTAGCAATTTCAGTGACTTAATCATCTTTGTTATCTACTGATTCTTCGCGTGGTGGACCATTTTCAGATAATTCCTAATAATTCAAATCAAACTTAAAAAACACAAGCAATAATAATGAAAAAAAATTTTTTGATATAAACCCGTTCAAGTTCAGGATTTACTACTTCCAATTGAAATCCTTCAACATTGGACATATCAATATCCATATTTATTATTATAATTTTCGTTGAATGATTAAAGTATTTAAGAAAAGAGAAAGATTATCTGATATGATGATCATATAGAATATTATTAATATTATTATATATATATGTATTCAAATAATTATAAATCATTATGTAATTGTGTAATTGTTAGACGGACAATCATGTGTACAAAATTGTACGTAACTATGCTATCATGTGTATGTCTGAGTACGAAAAAATTGAAAGTTTTCTTTTAAAGCGTCTGACCGAGTTTGCGTTACCGTACCGTACTAGTTTACTATATACTCAGTGACATTTAGATCATTTGTGTTATTTCATATCATGCCATACGTTGTAACGGAACACCGATTGACAAAAGATCTAACCTTATACTCCATGGGGTGTCATGGGATGCGGAATTAATAAAAAAAAGGAATGATTTTTTATGACAACTATGAAAATTGATAAATTTCATTTCATTGTTGAAACAAAAGAAACCTCCCTTACATGGCATGCTCAAAAATATTTTCAGGTGACTTACCTGAATCAGATGAAACTATATTCATGAGTTAATAGATTATGATGTCGTCTAACAAATTCCATGATTATGGGAAGATCCTTTTTCAATTTCTAACCAACATTATCGTTGTATTGCTTTTTAAATGAAGATAGCAAAGCAAAATTTAATGAATATGGAATTAATAATAATTTATCACTTTCAAATACATTATTCAATTATCCCAGTTTTATTAAATACTTAGATACATATAAAGTTTGTTGTTCTACTAGAAAATGGGTCGTTACTTTAGTGGATAAATACAATGAGAAGCCAGAAAACTTAGCTTATAGGTATTTATTTGAAGTTTTCATTGAAAATAAAATTTACATTCTTTCAAAGTTGTACTACCTACGGGTATTGATAATATAGACTTGATTTTACAAAATCCAAATTTTACATGCAAAAATTTAAAATTAGATAGTGGTAATGATTTTTCATTTGGAACTAGTGGCGGGAACCGTTAGAGGGTTGTAAGACTTGAGCCTATGTCCTTTATTTATAATAACAAAATATTAATATATACCGAGTTACACCTGCAATATAATATAATAAACTGACTCTAATAAACTATAAAGGGTAATTTCTTAAATCCTAAACTAAAAATGTAATTCTCAAATTCTAAACTAATTAAATTCTAGATTAAAAATGCGATAGTTTCCCCTCATTATATCTAATCTATAAATCATTAATTAAAATAATTAATGAGGCACTTTTTCATCATAAAAAAAAGGCAAAAAGAATCGAATAAGAAAATTATGTATGTATGGAATTACGTGGGGTCATGTTCAAAACTAATAATTTTCTAAGAAGAATTCGCTTCATATTTATAATATTTTCCCTATGCCTTTATAACCAACTTAAAATAACACATAAATTAAAATACACAACACATTTACACAAGAATAGTTTAACGTCAATTACGGGTGTTACCCTTTATGGAACCCAATTGTTGATAGTTGAACGTTTCCGGACCGCAGTTAATAAAAATACTTTAAATTTTATATACTTAAACTAAATATAATACTGCGCCTTATATTTTCGTAAAACGGGTACAACCGGTTTGACCTGATTCAACCCGATTCAACCCAATTCAACCCGATTTTTACAAAGCAACTCATAATTTCAGCCAAATTCATAATTCTGGGTTTTTTTATACGTAATTTAACAAATTCCGAATTAGGAATTTTCATGTCGATCACAATGATTACGTGATAATGGTTCAAAAAAAAATATGAATCCGGTTCAAACCAAATCATTGTTGGAAACCGAATTACAGCCGGTTTGTGCAACAGGTTCATACTCCAGTTCCTTCGCCGGAATGGTTTTGGCGAAATGACCTTCGGTAAAATGTCTATTCGGGAAAATGGCATTTCGGTGAAACATCCCATCGGCGAAATTTGCTTCAGCAAAATAGGCTTCTGTGAATTGGACTTCAGCGAAAAGTTTGGATACTCCTAACAGCCTAACCTTAATTCGTTTCATATTTATGATTATGTGTACAAAACGTCTAAAAAAGCACCATTTTGTACATTTCGTTTTTACTGTTATCACTTTTTTAAACCGTTTTTGGTAAGATTTCTGGTCATTAACCGGAACATATTTTATTAATGTTTTAAATTTGGAAACACTTTTAAAGGTTAATATTAATAGACATGGTTATATTCTAGATAAGGAAAAAATTCGCTAAACACAATATTTGTTTTCGGAATGTACAAAAATAAATTGGTTTTAATAAATGCGTTCGTGATAATATGATGACTCTGGATTATTTTTTTGGAAAGGGACGGAGTCATAGCTCTTGGCAGAAAATCATCAAAAAAAGTGAATCAAGCCAATTCAAAGCTCTTGGCAGAAAATCATTGAAAAAGCGAATCAATACAAGTCGTAGCTCTTGGCAGAAATTCTAGATTTTAAATTATATATAACCACTGCCACCAAAATTTTTGTTTTACAGAATCGACTTACGCTTAGAAAAGAAAGCAGAAATTAAAACTTTAAACTCCCAAATTATCAACTACCCAAACTACCCGAACTACTACTCCCCCAGGTCTATTGAACAACCGAAAAGAGTCATTAACAAATATGAAACTTCAAAGCTTTTACCTTCTTACTGTCCTTTTCATGTGTTTCTATATAATGGACATTAAAGGTAAAGTCCTTACATTCAATATGTTCTCCATTCTCTTTTCTAATGATTCAACTTTTTGGTTTAATTAGTGCCAATACGGATTTGGGTTTGACTCTCAGCAGTTGTAGAATTTGGATAGAGGATTCAAATGGTTATCGCATAGCCGGTGACGCAGACTACCGTGATTGTAGTTACACTTCCACTGGCGATGACCATGAAGTTATTAGTTTTTCAGACCAAACGTACACGGTTCATGCTAAAGTTGAAGGTAGTTTCAGGAAACAGAAAGTACGAGGACCTTTTAATGAAAATACCTGTTTTAAAATATATGGCAGTGTTGATGATTGGGAATTTGATCAAACATCTTGTTAGTATGTTGAAGATGTGAACCAATTAAATCTGTTTCTCTAGTTGCATAATTAATTATTTTCTAGAAATATGACATCATTAGTTAATACAAAAATTTTTAATTTTTCAGAAAATTATTTACCAAAAAATTTTACCGAAATTTCTCTGTGGCAAATTTAATGTAATGTAATTCAAAATTATAATCAAATTACTCATGTTTTTCGCAAATAATAATAAAAATTATGAAAGTTATTTATAATAACTATATTTATCAATTGGGTAATACTTTTTATAATAAAATTATTATTTTAAAACTATTAAACATTTTTCATAATATATTTGAACTAACCCGTTACTGGTTTTTACTCATTTCAATTATGTTATTGAATAATATATTTACGATTCCATGATCCACATTCTTATAAATTTCTAAACTAGTAATGATTCCCTTATAGGTGATTGGAGATACTCTTCCGCCGACAAAACCTAATTTTTTAAGGCCCCGTAAAAAAAGTCGATCCATTTTTAATATTCCATCTTTTTTTCCATAAAAGACTCATATTTCCGGATCAGTTTCCGTAAATAAATCCACGAAAGGCCCATTTTTACGGAGTTTTTACAGAAATAACGGATAAAATATTTTATAGGGAGAACGTCGTTAACAGAGGAGGCAAGAAAGTAATTACAAGATAAACATCAGACGCAGTATAAGAACCTAGTTGAGGATAGACAACAGGTTCCGAAAAATGATAACATACCTTCTATTGCCGGGTTGTTGATATGGTCAAGAAGGACTTGCTGAATGATGAATGAAGAAGAACCGATCACTGTGCCAACGACAATGCGCTGGTTGATGATGCGGTAGGAGTTATAGAAATAAAGTAGAAGAAACAAAGAACCAATGAACCCTTTTAAGAAATGGCTAAAAAAAATTTCAAAAAACAAGTAGCGACGTTTCAAGGTCACGTGTTAATAATACCGAACGAATAAATATGAAGGAAGAGGATTTAGATAATGAATCAGGAAAAAAAACTCTTTCCTCAATTTTTTTCCATCCGTTAGAATGGCGCAGTAGAAAATTTTCACATTAATAGATTTTTAGTATTCTTTAATACATTATAGTAAGAACACCCAAACAAAAACAACTCGTAAATATTCCATTCCATACCTTACAGTATATACGTATAGTGAAAACTTCGGTTTTTATTTGGTAGAAGTTTAATAGTGCACCTTGTTAGATATTGAACGAACACCCATCTCAAATATTTTAGCTATCCCCTTTGGTTAGAGTTATAGTTTTTTTTTCTTTTCTAACTGCCCATATACCCTACTTTTATATATATATAAAAATTTTTTTTAGACATTTTTTCTCTTTTTTATAAAATGTTTTCTTCAAAAACCACTTTCGATATTTCGATAAAAAAATTTCACGTGACAAAACCGAACCGATCAGGGTTATAACAGGATATACGAAATCAAGAAGTTAACTTTTTTGATCAACACGTTAACACCAATCATCTTCACTTAAAAATACGATTACCACATGAAAACCAACCTAATACGATATTCATCCACGAGCATGAAATTGAAATGCATGCCAAATTTGAAATATCCAAGTTACTCACGTACTTTTTTCTAGCACAAAGAGGTAAAAAAATTTTTTTATTTCATTAGGGACAAATTATTGGCCCGTATGGAAATGATAAGATCACGTGCCTTGAGTAAGGACAAAAGAAATTCAATCACAAAAACTTTCTTTCATTTTAGTTACAAACGTTATAGATTTTATTTTGGTATATATATACCTTGTTCACAATTTTGTTCTTCTGATCAATTTATACCTCGTGTGCATTATTGTGATATACCCTTCCCTTTCATTATGTCGAATAATAGAAGAACGTGCGTTTCTCATCAACCCTATTTCTTTAAAAACAAAATTTATAATTTTGTTAAAAATCCTGATCGTATTAATATATTAGCTGAACA